TTTATCAACAGAACGCGATTGGTGCAATCGAAACAATTACTATTATAATCAATTGCACCAGGGATTGTTTTACTGTACCTGTTTGTTTAACTGTACTAAGAACACACATTCTTCCTCCTTTTGATTGTGACTTTGCACGAATTTGGTTACGCTTTGTAACCACACTTGTATTCCATCGGCACGATCTCGGTATTCTTTCGATACCACGAGATTGCCAGCAAATACATTTCGACTACAGCCATCAACTGCCTTCCTATATTTGGCTAACGGCGGATCTTATCGATTAACTGGCACGTAGTCTTCCTGTAGTGGTGATCATGGCCAGCCGCGAATCGACGCCACGATACGACTGGTGAGCAAACCTAGGAACACGTCTCAACCTCTAGTCAAATCTTCCAAAAAAGCTAATTGCGTTGAGTCTATTACTTATCTCTTCACGTCTATTGCACATTTTCATATTGATGTTTTCAATATATAATCTGGCAACAACTTGAGATGACGCATAATGATAAGAATGGTATTAATATAATAGACTCCGATGTACGCGTACCGAATCATGGGCGCCTTTCATTCGCGTGACGATATATTCCACGCTTTATTCGAGAAATTCCCCCGATTAACTATTCTCCTCACTGGCCCGGCTGCTTGGTACGGAACGCATACGCACTGTCGCCTACCACCCAGCATCAAATGGTTTAGTTGAACGGTTTCATCCCCAACTTAAAAGTGCTCTTAGAGCACACAAAAACAACAATTTGTACGAAACCTTACCGCTCGTCCTCTTAGGTATCAGAACGAGCTAAAAGGCAGATATTCAATGTTCCACCTCTGAACTTGTATACGGCACAACATAACGTCTGCTTGGGGAATTTTTCACACCACGGATCAGCAACGATCTTGGTTAATCAGGCTACGTCCATCGAATTTCTGAATTTATGCGAACACTGTCTCCGGTGTCAACTCGAATACAACATCGACAGGTCACTCTCTATCGAGAGTTATCTACATGTTCACATGTTTTCATACGAGTAGATTCAGTACTCAAACCTTTGCAACAGCCTTACGAAGGACCTTTTCACGTGATTTCTCATCACGAAAAGACCTTCAAGGTTGATCAACATCGTCGCGTTGAGGTAGTCAGCATTAATCTTCTCAAACCATCACGCGTCTGTGACAGTGCCCTACCAGATAACTTGAGACCCAATGCTAGACCTATCACACCTACTAGCGGAATCCTTACATCTACTTTAGTTCCCACGCTAGATACATAAGGGACCTCATTCTCACGCCCCGGTCAACAGCACGTGTCATCTGCACCATCTACGGACGAGACTTCAGTCTCACGTCCAGATCAGCGGACCACGCCGCCCTTGACTTCGGGTGAGATTGTAGGCTCACGAAGTACGACCGAGACTACCGTCCCGCGTTCCGGTCGCCGAGTACGCCTACCCGTACGCCTTCGCGACTAACCGCACAATCAACAACGGATACAGTGTAGGACTATTCCTATATTGAATGCATGTTACACCTTTTCACTTTTTTTGTATCCCGAGCCCACGCTTCCAACCATCGCCCGCTTGGTATTGTCGACTTCAGTCAAACTTGGCGAAAACTGGCCTGATCACCCACGCTTTTGTCAACGCACTCAGTCGATGTTCTGGTTCCGAATACGTCTGGCATATGTTTGGTCTCGCACTTGGTTGCTATGGTCGCTTCTGGTCCCTTGGCTCAACGTGTTTTCGTCCTACGTCTGCAGCGTCTTCTGGTCCGCACAGCTACGAACGCAATCCTCAGATCCTGGATACGCTAAATCGAGCAACAACTAGTGGTCGAGAATAGATCCATGTGAAGTTGGGGGCTTCTTTAAACCACAACTTTATATCCCTCTGCAGTATCTCGGAATTTAATGATGATGAAGGACGAAGTCACCCGTTTCATATATGTTTTCGGTGGCATATCTCGAGGGGGCAGAAAAATGGTGTAGGAAAAAGAAAGAATGAGAAGCAGAGCAGACAATGTTCATGAGAGAATAAGTAAGGTATGACTACTCGATCAAATTCTCTAATACTGAGGTACTTGTTAAACAAGAGCATTCTTACATGTTATAGAAAATAAGTGTAGACAAGGTATGAGCGAAAAAACAACTGACAAACGGAGGCGTTTGAGAGAGAAGCTGAAAGTATGGGGTTATGTGTAGTTATAAAATATAGTGCTGAAAACAGTATTCTGATACACAAATGGCTGCCTCCCTTTCTCGTCGAAGCTACTTGAACCTACTATTTTTCATAGATTTTCCAAGGTCTTGAGCAGGCTTCGTTTTAGCGAATTGTCTAGTTTGCCTGTAATAGGATTACTTGGTAGGAAAAGAAACCAATTCAGCGTTTTAAATACGATTTAAAAAGTTATTTTGCATAGTAAATCAGCACTAATACCAACGGTTCGTGACATTCCACCAGACCATAAGGAGCTATAATTAAGCAAAACGCTGTACCCTACAGATGTGGATGGATTGAAGTTATATCCCCAACATCATGTTTGTTGGTCAGTAACACCACCCATCTAGTTTTGTGATGTTAGGCTCTCTTGCGTTTGTGGTATATGTGAATATTGCTTTGATCAAAGGTCCTTGTTAGAATGCACTGTCTCTACTAGTTCCATGTTACAAACAAATCAGATGGCTAAAGCATTTGTATTATGGGTTAGACATTCATTCAATATATCACACTGCTATGACGATAGTCAATGTTATAAGCTATAAGAAACTGGCCAGATTATATGTGGTTAAGAGATGGTAAGAATAGATAGCAAGTCAAAGGATATGAAATAGCATAAGATCGTAAAATTTTCAGGGCAAGGAAAATAAAATATTGAGTGACTCACAAGAACTTAAGACATTATGATCTTCTTATGATCGGCCATATTTGATCAGCATCCATGAGATTATTGAGCTATCTGTCTACTTGTAATAGAAAAAATAAAAGACATGACACTTAGGAAGAATGATTTATCTTTAACCATTAGACATCTGAAATCTGAAATTGAGGGTTAGGAGCATAAGGGCATGACTAATAATCAATGGATAATGGGAAACGGTAAACTATGTTTTCCATAATTTGGTTATATTCATATTAATGACAATGGAGTCTGTTATATTCATGACTGGTCTAGATATTAGGTGGTCCACAATAAAATAACTTATTGGTGGGAGGAAGTTCAGGGAATAGTTGATGGAGCCCTTCAGAGTCTGGTAACAGGGTTATTAGTCTTTTGAACTTTATGATAGTGTCACAGTTACGGATAGACATTGGTAGTTTGTTCCACACCAAACAATACAGCACTGTAAAAAAGTTACAACGCATTGGTTTTGGTGTTTTTTTTTGCGGTAAGTAGTGCATATGCGTTGTTTCTTAGTCTGTAGACTAGGTCATGGATAATAGTTGGGCAGGAGGTTAGAAATGAGAGTTCATGTATTGCTTTGTAGAGAAATATTAGATTGTTCCTTACACTACGATGCCACGATGGCTCTAAAGAGAGGTGCTTACATCTGTGTATTTGAGAGTGGAGTCCCATCCCAGCAGTTGGCGCGTGAAGCGTCTTTGAACATCTCCTACTCTTATCTTGTCTGTGGTATTCATATTTGAGCAGATAAAAGAGCAATATTCGAGGGATGGTCGTATACATATTTTGTAAATGGTATCGTCTAGCTTTAGAAATAATAGACGATGCATGTTCTTCAAAGTTCAGGCTTCCTGTGTAATTAATTCTTAGATCGTGTACTGATTTGATTGTCTGGGATGTTTCCGCACTTGTTGAGGTTAAATGGAAATTGCCATTTTTTCGCTTCAGATAGTCAGGTTATTGGGATCATTTTGAATTCAGGATAAATTTTCACTTAGAGCCTCATGCTTATAGCTGTATACTATTTTCAGATCATCAGCATATAAGTATGGTATTCATACTTCGTTAATGCACTTCGTTCACGCAGTTGAGAAATTAGTTCTCGATAACATTCAGAGCATTATAAATAATTGAGCTTAAATACCTGGAGCTCACTAATCTTAACTGTGTTAACATTATCATGCTTGTATTCCAATTATCTATGACACCATAAAATTATTGTTGAGATTTTGAACAAGATTCGTTGATAATTGAGGGTAATACATCGAACATGAGGCGCACAAATCTTACTGTATTGAAGAACTGAATACTTGGTTTCAGAAGAATGTGAGACCTAACCAGTCGTAGCCGAATCGAGCACCGCCTCTTGACAAGCAGCTATGAGTTTCATGAAAAAGTGAAATGATTTTATCGAAGATTTGAGCCCGATTCATCTCACTGTTCGCTTCACTCAAGTCTTAAGGCGCATCTTCGATCACACTGTTAGAGTCTGCCTATTTAAGAGAATATAATTTAGGACAATGATTGTTACCTCGACTCAAACACAAGGGTCGACCTATTTTGATAGGCTACAATATGAATCGTGAGAATCAATGGTAAAAAAAGTAATTGGTTTACAAAAGATACTTCAAATCTCTAGTCTCATATGTAGCTGCGAAGTCAACCAATGATTTTCCTGACACAGTAGTTAAAAGAACGCCACATTATTATGTCAATCATATTCAGTAATAATAAATGATAGTTTCTCCATCTCACACGAACTCCGTTTTCTCGCATTCCAAAACAGAGAACTTAAGACAACACTGAAAAATTTTTTTCACAAGCTCAGAATCAATTACTTGTCAGTTAACCAACGATTTTACATTGTGTAGATGATTTGTGTGGAATGATTGGCGGTCAACTAACGTTGAAGTTATACCTTACGTTAGTGCTTAACGTGGATTATCCACTCGTCGTATGGAAGTACTATGGCTATCAGCACAAACGACGTCATTACAGCAATATATTGGTAAGCGTAGGTTCAAGGAAGAGAGTGCAACCACCGTGCAGACCAGTCCATGACATGCAGTCAGCAGACGCGCGTTCGTTGTCCTTGACCTTGACAAGGGTCGGTGAGCTGTACTGCACGAATTCGAATAATCAACGAATGAAAATCTTTACCTTAACTCGTGGTGAAATCTCAGTTTATCAAAAATTTCAAAAGAAGGCTGAATCAAATAGGTAGTTGACGCGGAACACCAGATCTGGGTTTTTAAAGGAACATATTGATGGTGTTCTACTGAGTCAATGTCACTGTAAAACCTTCACTTCGAAATGGCGCGATATTGCGAAATGTCTGTCAGTGATTTATGATGTTCAAGTGTTTGCCAATCATAGGACCTTGTGGTCGACATATAGATCATATTGATCGACGTCATTCAAAGCTTGAACAAGTTCCAGATGATGTAATAAGAAATTTTCGTACTTTAGAAGAGTGTCGTTTAGATGCCAATCAAATCAAGGAATTACCAAAGGTATTTAAAACTACTTTTAACACAATCTTGCTTGAGATGGAATGGGTTCAATGATTTTTATTGTGATTTGTTTCAGAACTTTTTCCGCCTGAAGCGCATTCGTCTCCTCACACTGAGTGATAATGAGTTAACACGCTTGCCAACTGGAATTGGCAGCTTCTCTAATCTTGTGGAGTTGGACATTAGTAGAAATGGTATGATTACGCCTAACCTTTCTTCATACGTCCAGATATATCTGAGCTTCCTGCGAGTATTCGGTTTTGTGATTCTTTACAGAGTTTGGATGTAAGCAATAATCCTTTGCAAAGGTGGGTTATCGAAAATTGAAATATGGTATACAAATATTCAGTTCGTAATTGTGACATGCAATAAATTTAAACGAATGTTGTGATAGTAATTTTTGCGGTTGGGTAAAAGTTTAGTTGTCTGGGTCGAAATGTAACTAACTGTATAGTTAGTTATATTTCTCATGCCACCTGTATTTCGTTCGAATGCTTCAACACTTCATTATAATTCTCAGTAACATATATGTCCTTAGTGTCTTATTTTCGGGTTTAAAACCCCGGAAATGTTTTTGGTACTTACGACTCAGACATCAGAGGCTAGTAATAAGGCCCAACCTTCAGTATCACAGAGCCTCAGTAAAGCACAACTGTTTAATAAACAAAAGTTCGAAAATTCATCAGATTTATTCCGTTTTGACTCAATAATTAGTACCACTGACTCATATTGAATCGTCTTGATACGAATCTTACTATTTAAGTATCTCGTCTTTAGTGTCTCGTAAACGTAACGAAAATCACGAAGTACTACCAGGCTTCATGTCCAGAAAAAACGTTATTATTATTGTGCATTATTATGAACTAAAGGTACACTTCGTTGTTATTATGACCAAGATATCGACAAGTTGACTTTATTCTAAATGCTATCAACATATTTAGAATTGTTTAAGTTTGAAAGATGAGACGATTTCTTTTATTTTGTTAGGTCACTCAAGATTTTGTTCTGGTTATCAGTTTTGTAAAATGTTATCTGCTTTCTGAATGACATTTGTAGTCTATGGTATTTATTACCTTATATTTTCAGTGAAAGTTCAAATTATTTTCCATTTTCCAGTGTCAAAAACTGAAGGTCTGAATGTTGTGTGTAACCACATGTTCATATAAACGGTAATAAGTGATACCTATTGCGGGATACTACATATTAATAATTTACTGTGCATAGAAATCGGATGTCTGTGCAGTTAACCGGTTCACTTTTAGTTCCCTTCACTTTAAAACCTTTTAACTGAAAGTTTGTTATCCTACCTACTTTAAATTGTTTCGAATTACAAAGACAAGTATATGTATTGTATATTCATAAAAACAAATGGAATCAGTTGCTAGTGTTTTTCTCGGAAAAGAAACCATAGTACCTTCTTTTTTCAAAATAGGATGTGACTTTATGACCTGAGTTTATCATTTCATGTTGCTTTGAATTTTCCGACTATATTAACTCATCTATCCCACTCTACCAATTCCAGCTTACCTGCTGGATTCTGCCAGTTGCGCAATCTTCGAGTTTTATGTCTTAATGATATTTCGATTGCTGAGCTTCCAGAAGAAATAGGCAGGTAGGTTCTTTTTTGTTTTTTAATCCTAAGTGAAATATCATATAAGTTTACTAATTATATAGTAACATCGTGCTACTTTATACATGTTTTTAAAGGCATCCCTTTTAATTACTTGAATAATCTAACTTAGGACTCGGCATATTAGCAAATCAGTTCAAGTTTCTTCAGCAGCATAAAGAGAAATCTCAAAAGGGTGTCCAACATAGCACCTACATACGAGAATGATATTGAAAGACGTGATACCTCTGTTGTGGAAGGACTTATTGATATAATATCAGTCTAATGAACTAAATTTAAGCGACTAATTGATTTTTATTCATGGGACTGGGATTGAAGACTTAAATTATTCGGGTGATAATTTTCTGACTCGTAAATTATCCTGACCTTAGCAAAAATATACGGTTATTGATTTGGTTTTACTTCAATTGCATTCCGTGAAAATCTGTAAGGAAATACTTAAAAGAATCACTTGCATGCGTAAGCTAACCGTGCCCAATTGGTTTGTTACTGTTGGTCAAAATTTATTTGAATAGTTCTGACAAACGTCTAAGCCTGGAATGTTGAACGAAATCTCACAAATTCAAGTTTCTACACTTGAAACCAACTCTATAAAACCCAAATGATTCTGTAGAAAAAATAGATGGTCAATGAAGTGCTCAGGTTTTTTGAAGGAAAAACAAAGTGGATGTAATTTATTATCCATTGTGGTTGATTTATTCACTACCTTTCGTATGTTATTTATTCAGTGTTTTCATTTAACCCGGTGACCTTGGTGGATCTGCTACTTATAGATTTGAAAAATCTTAGTGTCGTATACTACAATTTGAATGCTATTGGAAGTAACAGATAAGAAATTCGATTGCATTGTTGTCCTTTAGATTTGAAACAATTCTATAAAAAATCACTTATGCCAACGATAAGGCTTTTTCTGTATTAACTAGATTAACTTACTACCCAAGCTCTACCAGTCAGTTATATTCAACATAAAGCCTAGCCTAAATGTGCGTTAATGTAAATGGTCATACTAAGCTTCATCAGTATACTAGTGTTTCAGAAAGTTTAAGCGTGATGAGCATTAGGTCTCGTTTACGTCTAAGTATGATAAAGATATTTTTTTCAGCATAGTTCACGTAGTATCTGGTTAATTCTCGTCCACCATCGGTTTTATGTCGTTGTTTGACAGCTGTAATATTAGGTAAACGTTTAGAAAGAAGCAATTGGTCGCACTAGAATCATTCAGGTTTGTATGGATGCCGACTGCTGTTGCTTGTAAGCAAGTTGTAATTGCCATCAAAGGGTGAGAATTGTATTTTCCTGATGGACATATCTAAATGACTTCAAATTTATTAAGACTAGTTGTGGCATAATACTTCTTTATTTTCGTTTAGTTTACAGTTACTAGAAAAACTAGAACTTCGTGATAATTGTCTCAAGTCAATACCAGATTCTTTCGCTGATCTTATTCATTTGGAGTTTCTTGATCTTGGTGCCAATGAGTTTCAAGAGTTGGTGAGTTTTTTCCCCACATTTTTTGTCATCTAAACAAATCGTATAATTAGAAAATTGTCCGCTCATTTTAACACTTTCTATCTCATGAATGTGAAACATGTTAAGTTGTCACATGCTGATTACAAGGAAAACTACACTTAATCCTCTGCTTCAGATTAATTTCTGTGCCTTTTGACTTACCAATCAAACACGCTACAATAAAGAATTTAGTGGTAATAATAAGACCTAACTGCTGGAAAGTGATGTACACAAACTTATCCATTATGAACTTGTATTTAACAGGTATTAATTGTGTGGTTTAGCCACCACCCCCACATCCACAATATCAACTAGCCTAGTTCACTTAACCATCCTTTAAACTGGTGGGTAAAAGGTAAGTATCATTCCCCAGGAACTACATTTATGTTATGTACACATATATCTCATTTTATTTTTCGTGGCTTTACAGAGTTTAGTTTCCTAAAAATTTACTTTTAACTTTTATTTAGTCTCCCGTAATTGGTCAGCTCTCTCGATTGAGCGAATTATGGATAGATGATAATGAATTGAGATCATTACCTGAAGTAAGATGTTATTTTAATAAAGTTTTCGTTTTTTTATTAACGTACTAGTGGGAAACGTGATAGCTTTCGTGTCTGTAGAAAAACAAGTTATCTTTAAAATAAAGTCATCCGGTCGATCTATCTTAATATTCGAAGTTTGACGGTTAATAATTAATGTTAATTAACTGTACCAGTCACTCATGGTGTAAGTTAGTTGATTAAAGTTGCTCAGTTGCGATTATCCACTATTTTTTCCCTAAGCTCTGGACGTGTTATTATCTGATACTTTTCATTCTCTAATTTCATCCATTTATTTTGACTTATTTTTTTATCAGTTTTAGCCTTTTGCTTTATTCTATTATCAGTTTCCTTCCATTATACCGCAGTAAGGTATGGCGACTTAGTCTAATGATCATGTGCCTATCCGTTTGTGGCATGTATTTGTATCTGTTATCCAGTCTGTTGAGAAAATATTTAATTTATTAATTGTTTTTTGTGGGAATGGTTACTCTTCTATAAACAATTTATTTTTACCTTTTTACGGTTTATATATATTTTGATTTCACCACCCACTAACTCCTATTATTCCCTACTCTTGGTTCTTACGAATTTTAATGCGGCTATCATTCAATTCGTGTGCTTGCGTTTTACTGTTGATTTCTCTGTTTTTAAGGGCATTGCATATAGATTTTTGTGTAGTAGCTATATGCATCCTGTATTTCATATACCACTCTGATTTATATATATTGGAGTTGTAGACAATAAGATTTATGAAGTATTAAGAATCCTATATTGGATACTTTTAGCGGCCTGGCTGAACACAATAATATAAGTGAATATACATTTTATCTTGCAATTATGTTATTCCGTACTACCCCTCTTACAGTAATTTCCTGTCTTTTTATAGTTCCTATCATATTTCTTATAATCACTGGTACTTTACTTTCTCGCTGTATTGTTTAGATGTGTGGCTAGTCTGAGCGATATACTCTTAGGTCACATGGTAATACATATAAGTCATTGCTTAACCTTATAATGTTACAAATGTGAGTGATCTTTCAATTCAGTATGTCGACCAATGGTTTCATTTTGTGCGTTTTTACATTCATGGCTGATTTGTTATGATGTTCGGTATTGGTTGCTCAAATAGTAGTAACTTCTTCTGTTCACCTCATTGAGAATTGGTACCGTCTAAAATATCACGTTTACCAGTTTTTCTACATAATTTAAAAACCCTTTTCAAATTAATTAAACGTCATGAGAATTTCTATATTGGTTATATATTATTTCTACACCCATTAATTCATAATTCATAGTATTTACTAGAATCTCTTGATTATTGTGATACTGTGTCGCCTGGAATAGCTTTTATATATATATATATATATATATATATATATATACATATCTTGAGTGCTGTTAAAGGTATGAGGGCGGTTATCACTTCCCGGTAGCCCACACCGTGGAAGGGTTCTTCTGGAGGTGTCTGAAAATGAAATTGGATTAGAGGTGGTCTTATTGACCTGAGAGCGTGACCGCAGTGCCCAAGGGACAACTGCTTGAGGTCGGTCACACACGACCTTGTTATGGGTAATTTTTGTGTTAGCCCCGTACTTGTTGAGACCTTACCACCGGAGACGGATATCCGTGGGATAAGGCGAGGTGTGCATTTTTAGGGTCGACTTTTTCTAACCCCACCCCTCCTTGTGGGAAGGCAGCATCGCTGTCATGCTGGGTGTCTGAAGGAAGCACCTTATTGCTGTCACACCTCTGTACAGTCAGCAGTACGACTTCGCCTTCGGACCTTGGGTTTGTTGCTTTTAGTCTAACTGCTCTTCAACCGACCTGTCTGACATGGTAGGACCTTGAGGAACGGTTGTTCCAGCCAGTATAGCTCGGTTGCTTCATCACGATAGGCAAGCCCGACCACCACGTCAAGGTAGCAACAACGGTCGGGTTCTACTAACTAATTCTTCCTGTACTATATCCTTATTGCAATCTTTCTTTTATGTATTACCACCTCTGAATTAACTACTTTTATGAATCCGGTGTCCATCTTGTTATGTTAATGAGGTATGGCAACTTGGACCGATGCATCAATGTGCCTGGTCCTACGTTGTAGCTGACTGACTGACTGTGATATATATATATATATATTGATGTTTAGGACTGCGGATGATCCGTTCATTTTGATATATGTGCACCCTGTGCGGATTGCACTTGATATCGCCAGTAGGTTAAAGGGTTTTGTCTCAGTGTTCGTTAACCCAAAGTATTTTCGCTGCATCCGGAGTGAGTAGTTGTCATGATTTCGTATTTCTACCTAAGGCAGTGTGAGCTAAACTTTATTTGTTGGTGAAGGCATGATTTCGCCTCAAAATTAAAAACAATGAGATAGGCCACATTCCCAACTATAAACTAGAGAACTTTCCAACAACTAGAGCAAAAATTTTTATAGGTACATGGAACGTTCGAACAATGTGGGAAACCGGGAAGACCAGTCAAATAGCAATGGAAATGAGGAGATACAACTTAGCAGTACTGGGAATCAGCGAAACCCACTGGACCCAAGCTGGACAGAAAAGGCTAGCTACGGGAGAGATGCTGCTATACTCCGGTCACGAGGAGGACAATGCTCCACACACTCAGGGAGTCGCTCTTATGCTGTCCAAAGTAGCACGAAATGCACTTGTAGGATGGGAGTCTCACGGATCCAGAATCATCAAAGCATCATTCAAAACAAAGAAGGAGGGGATCTTAATGAATATTATCCAATGTTATGCACCCACCAATGATAGCAACGACGACATTAAAGATCAGTTCTACGAGCGGCTGCAGTCAATCATTGAGAAATGCCGAAGAAAGGACCTAACTATTCTGATGGGAGATCTAAATGCCAAAGTCGGAATAGACAACACTGGATATGAAGATATTATGGGACGACATGGACTGGGAGAAAGAAACGAAAATGGAGAAAGATTTGCAAATTTGTGTGCATTCAACAAATTAGTCATAGGAGGCACAATATTTCCACACAAGCGTATACACAAGGCTACATGGATCTCACCGGACCACACTACAGAGAACCAAATAGATCATATTTGCATCAACAAAAAATTCCGAAGGACAATGGAAGATGTGAGAACCAGGAGAGGTGCTGACGTAGCTTCAGATCACCACCTAGTTGTAGCCAATTTAAAACTGAAGCTAAAAAGAACTGGACAAGTGGACAAACAGCACTACAAAGGTTCAATACAGCCTTCCTTCGAGATACTGACAAACTCAATGAATTCAAGATAGCTCTCAACAACAGGTTCCAAGCCTTACAAGATCTACTGAAAGAAGAAGAAACTACTATGGAGGACAACTGGAAAGGCATCAAGGAAGCATTAACTTCAACGTGTCAAGAGGTTCTGGGCCTAAAGAAACACCATCATAAGGAATGGATCTCTATAGAAACACTGGACAAGATCAAAGAAAGGAAGAACAAGAAGGCAGCAATTAACAACAGCCGAACACGAGCAGAGAAAGTCCAAGCACAAGCTGAATACATAGAAGCAAACAAACAAGTGAAGAGGAGCATTAGAGCCGACAAGAAGAAATACGTGGAAGAACTAGCAACGACGGCAGAAAAAGCTGCTAGAGAAGGAAATATGAAACAGCTTCACGATACAACGAAGAAACTAGCAGGGAAATACAGTAAACCAGAGAGGCCGGTCAAAGACAAAGAAGGCAAGCCAATCACCGAAATTCAACAACAGCGTAACAGATGGGTAGAATACTTCGAGGAACTCCTGAATAGGCCGGCTCCAATGAATCCACCGGACATCGAAGCAGCACACATAGATCTTCCTATAGATGTCAACCCACCAACGACGGAAGAAATTAGAATGGCCGTCAGACAAATCAAGAACGGGAAAGCAGCAGGACCCGACAACATACCAGCTGAAGCACTGAAATCAGACATCGAAGCAACCACAAGCATGCTATACCTTCTATTCAAAAAGATTTGGGAGGAGGAACAAGTGCCGATGGACTGGAAAGAAGGACACCTCGTCAAGATTCCAAAGAAAGGAGATCTGAGCAAATGTGAAAACTACAGAGGCATTACACTACTGTCAATACCAGGGAAAGTCTTCAACAGAGTGTTGCTGAACCGGATGAAGGATGCAGTAGACGCCCAACTTCGAGATCAACAAGCTGGATTCCGTAAGGATCGGTCGTGCACAGACCAAATTGCAACACTACGGATCATCGTCGAACAATCAGTTGAGTGGAACTCATCACTATACATCAACTTCATTGATTATGAAAAGGCATTCGACAGTGTAGATAGGAGGACATTATGGAAACTTCTTCGACACTACGGAGTTCCTGAGAAGATTGTCAACATTATCCGGAACTCATACGACGGACTACAGTGCAAAGTAGTGCATGGAGGACAGCTGACAGATGCATTCCAAGTAAGGACTGGAGTCAGACAAGGCTGTTTACTCTCTCCCTTCCTCTTTCTTCTGGTGGTCGACTGGATTATGAAGACCTCAACATCTGAAGGAAAACACGGAATACAATGGACAGCTCAGAATCAATTAGACGATTTGGACTTCGCAGACGACCTAGCCCTCCTATCACGTACACACGAACAGATGCAGATGAAGACAGCCAGTGTAGCAGCAGTCTCTGCATCAGTAGGCCTCAGCATACACAAAGGGAAAACCAAGGTCCTCAAATTCAAGCGGAGAACAGCAATCCAATCACTCTTGATGGCGAAACTCTGGAAGATGTAGAGTCCTTCACATACCTGGGAAGCATCATCGATGAACAAGGAGGTTCAGATGCAGACGTAAAGGCGAGGATCGGCAAAGCAAGGGTCGCATTCCTACAATTGAAGAACATATGGAACTCAAAACAACTTTCAACCAATATCAAAGTGAGAATCTTCAATACGAACGTCAAGGCAGTTCTACTGTATGGAGCTGAAACTTGGAGAACTACAACAACCACAATCAAGAAAGTACAAGTATTTATAAATAGCTGCCTACGCAAGATACTCAACATCCACTGGCCGGATACCATCAGCAATAGCCTTCTGTGGGAGAGAACAAACCAACTTCCAGCTGAAGAAGAAATTAGGAAAAGACGATGGAAATGGATAGGACATACATTACGCAAATCGTCAAACTGCATCACGAGGCAAGCCCTAACTTGGAACCCTGAAGGGAAGCGAAAAAGAGGAAGGCCAAAGAACACATTGCGTCGGATAATAGAAGCAGATATGAAAAGGATGAATTACAACTGGACGGAGCTGGAAAGGATTGCCCAGGACAGGGTTGGATGGAGAATGCTGGTGAGTGGCCTATGCTCCTTCACGAGGAGTAACAGGCGTAAGTAAGTAAGTAAGTTTCCAAATTCCTGCAATTCATTTGGCCGTGTTTTTTATGGAATCGGTCTTGACGTCTTCTGTAAGCTTCTGTAACCTCAAACTCATTCGCAACCAAATAAATACTGGATTGTAAGGACAACTAGTCTTTCACCGGATCTTCACCTTCTATGATACACGATTCAGCTGATGACCTGGAATATTCCGGAAAGTCTATTGTTAAACGCTTTTTTCTTAGACCCTGAAAATACTAATTAGATTTGCTGACTATGAATAAGATCTACCACGCATCCTTTTTTATGCGTATTAATCATTACGGATTAATTGCTAAATTATTAGGTGCTTCATGGATGTGTAATTTCTATTTTAAGTTTATTTCAAATCTATGGATAAAAGAATTTACATAATGCCAATTGTGTTTAAGTCGACTAGTATCAGAATAGAAGTAGTAAGTGTCAGCAGTAGTATAAAAGATTATGCACAGGCAATATATTTCGGGAGTAAAGAATGAGTTTACTGAATAACTAGTGTAAGATTATTTTAGAACTCATGATCTGAGGGGAGACAGATAATGCATCTGGACCATTGTGACCGATTTTGAGCCATATCACCCACCACCTCCATTCATTAATTATACTGGTGGTGAGGGGAAGCTAAACATTTCTGTTTCTTGTATTAGTTTGTCTCTTCACAGTTGTGTTGTGCATACATTTCTTTTATATAAAACAAAGGACCAACCGTAGATTTTAATACATAAACGGTTCTGTTTCATTTATTTTCACTTCGCTTCACATTACGTTCGTGTTTTGGTATATGAAAAACCAAACTACAAGGAGTTGGGAAATCTTGGGAATTTGCAACAGTTGGATTTATCAGAAAACCTTATTTCTACTCTGCCTGAAAGCATCTCGGGATTAGTTTCACTGTCGGACTTAAATTTATCACAAAATAGCATAACACATTTACCAAATGGCTTAGGTAAGGAATTGTAATTTATGATTATTATTTTTATAAATAACCTGCACAGCTTTATCTTTACTGATCTCATTAAATGTCAAACAGAATTAAATGAGTTTGTAGTCAACTAATCATTTTTTCCCAAAGACCCTTAGTTTGAGATTTTATCAGTAGACGTTTTCATCTTGATATCTGCTGTCAGATACCGGGCAAAAGTACTGATTATTCTAATTGATGTACAAGAAAATGAAGTGTTTTTATATTTTTCCTGAGAACATTTTCATATTTTTCTGATTTTTACAGCTTGGTCTGATGTTTAACTTCCAAAGATTTAACTAGTGACGTTAGAGACGAGCTAATAATATCAATATTTGTGGATTTAAAGTAATCAATCTATTTGCATATTGTCATCAACATGAGAAAATATTCCAAAGTTCAGAAATACATTATTCCCGAATATTCCGACACTCATGTTAATTTCTCTATCTAATTTGTATATTACTTGTTCAATGGTCTGACTTAATACATAGTAAATGCTACTTGTTTAAATACTGAACTATAAGTCGCATAAACATTACATAAAGATATATTATATGTAACCGTTTAAATTTTCCCAAGTAATCAAACCCTCAGGCCATTCTTTCGAACTTGAGTACTTAAACTTAAATAAGTTTTAACCTAACTGAAATTATTTTTCACAGTTGAACAGCGAATCAAGAATATGGTTCATTGAAAAGATCTCTTTTTGATAATTCCATATGTATATATTTCCACAATGATAGTCTATAATGGCAATGATTAATTACAGCGACGAAAGTTAACTACGAAAATTTTCACTCGTATTTAATTGTTGAATCAAAGTTGAATTAAGAATTTTGTAGAAAGCAAATAGAAAATGATAATTATTGAATCTGTATACTCAGCATAGTGATATAAACATCGAAAATAAAATATATCAGAGATGATCACTCAAACAAAAGTAAATGGTTGGATTACAAATTCAATAAATTAATGGAGAGCAATGATGATCTGTAAAATCTAACAAATAAAGTGTAGACAAAACTTAATATTTAAAAGTTTTATACGTCTAGTTCATGGTAAGATAGGATGCTGGACAAGTTTATTTCGTACCCATAGTTCGAGCTTCTTTGTACATAATGAGAGTTTCAACAATAGCAAATAGATAGAAACATCGTTTTTAGTAGTCTTGTGTTCAAACTGTAAAGGACCTTGCAAACTGAACCTCTTCTAATTTCATGGTCGGTATTGACAAGCTATTCTATAACTACACTTCTTGTGCAGCCACTTTTACGTTTCTGTAACCATTCAGCGTACGTTTTCTAAACGCTCGTGAAATAAATGCTCACCGAACGACTAATATATATTGCCCTACAGGAACAGGTAAATTGACTAGCAGATATTGAAAGGGTTAACTGTTTATGATCTTCGTAAATATCTTTCCCAGGATTATTGCGAAGAATGTTCTTTTGAAGGCGTTTGCGATTATCCTCTCCAATATGTGTGTCACCTCTGTGGTCAACATTCATGTAGAGTACCTTCTACTCGGATTATCATATTGATAATAAAGTTTTATCTGATATATATATATATATATATATATATATTATATATATATATATATATATATATATATATATATATATATATATATATAATTTTTGTTTACCTGTTGTCGTTATTTTCATTTTTAAGGTGATTTAGACAAGTTGATCATTTTAAAGCTCAACCAAAATCGACTGTTAACAGTAACACCAACTATAGGAAAGTAAGTTAAAAATTATTACATATTCAAAGTGAAAAGAATTGATCCTCAGTGTTGATCATTTGAAGTGTGTGACAATTTCTTTCTGTGAATTAGCTGCTCCTTTTTTAATGATTTTATTGTACCGGCATATTTGCTCTCACTCCGCATTTTAAATGTCAGTTTTCTTTCTGTGCTAATGTAAATTCTTACAGCTAAGCTCGGTGCATATTTGTGTCAGATTTCAAGTTGGTCTTATTTATTTATTTATTTTTAACACATAGATATTGGTACAAGGAGGCACCAAATACATATGCGCCACACAGATCTCATTTGATATGCGTGAGGGCTGTAATACTGCCCGGGTGCCCAAACCGAAGCAGGTGGTTTTCTTAGGAGTCACACTTCCAGCCTTTGACCTACAGGTCTGATCCACAAGGCAGTGGAGCATCGTAAGAAGATGCAGTTCCATGGTAGCCGGTGACCAACGATTGGTTCATACGCCATTTGTTCCCTCAGGATACTGGAGCCCATCTGCACTATTGGTTTAGAATCAGGGTTTTCCAACTCCCGTAGGTGGACTCTCCATGTCCACCAACCCGGTTAAGGCGCCTGACATTCGCTTTTCGTTTTCTTAATTTCGTAAACAACACCCTCACCACGAGAAGGTAGTGAGTAGGACTTCCCTGGTAGCGGTTGTATGCACGTGGCCATGTGAGAGGATTTCGTGAGGGATAGCTGACTCTCCCCACTCTCGGCCGTACCAGGGCATTTGGGGGCATTGTCTTTGATAATATTATGTGATATGTTTTCACATATCTGTTCACAAAATGAATTGATGTATTACAAATTAATGGCTTTTACATTTAGACGTGAAATACATTTCGTCTGTTAATGCATTCGCCTTGACTAGACTTTACTGTCATCATGTGACTTTTGATCTGTTTCCCTATGATGCTAGATTGTTTTACGTTTTATCATCTTTGATCCTTTTTTAAATCCTTGTTTCTATTAAACTAACACTTTTTTGGCACATATATGCATGATTTCGTTAACACTTTACTTTTGTGCGTTAATTAGTTTAACTGTGTGATTTTTATCAGCATACTAGACAATATTGTTAGGAAAAATAGATTTAGAAACAAATTCAAATGTGAGAGTTTCCTTATAAATCGATTAGTATCCTAACTCAATAATTTTATTTGTTGTTTTCACTACTTGTGTTAATCGTTGTTTGGATCTGCGTCTCACTGAGTTGTCCCTGGTCATTGAATATATCTCACTAGGCCTACATTCGGTACCGCACACTGAAAAATTCTTTGAGGTATTGTTTTTTTCTACATAGTACTTCCACATTTTAAGAGTCAATTTTATTTCTGTAGCTACTCACTTAAAAGGAGAACGTGTCATAACGTTCATCCATTGACTGACCATTGTGAAGACTATGATGAAGCGTTTGGGTTTCCTATCTAATATGTCTTCTTCAGGTGTGGTATTTACGAGTAATTTTCTTGTTATTGTATAATCCTAGCTCCTTAAGGTTTGGATTTTTTATTGTTCGAATAAGTACCAAAATAGTTCATTTGTAGTGGATGTACTTTTTCATTTACTTCACAAAACGTTGACTATCGTAATAATGATGGATAATTCGCACACCCGCTTAGCTGAAACTCAATAAGTATGAGAAAGTTTTCTCACTAAACGAACCTATTACACGCTCGTGTACTAAACTATGGGATACGTATATTTGTAGTAGCTATGATGACATTGCCCGACTGACTAAACTGACGTAGTTGAGGTAACACTTGATGTCGAAACGCATTGATGAAAATTCTCGTGCATAAACCACTAACTGTTGTGTAAACGTTATATTTCTAAGTTGCTCACCATGAGATAGATATTACTTTTGTTGTCGTAATGCATATCTTTCTATTTGACGAATTAAATGGCAATTTTATCATTTTGGTTATGTTCATCATTCAATATTAAATTTTATTTATAAAAAATACACCTTTCTTTTGTTAATTTCAGCTGTTCCAGTTTACAAGAATTATATTTAACTGAAAATTTTCTTTCTGTAAGTATTTATTAATAATCAGTGTACCTATACTCAATGTAACATTTTGAATATAGAAGATTGTCTTCATAATATGTCTAATTAAAATCGTCTTGTGAAATTTTTTTCAACTGAACTGTAGCTTTGATCATAAACTGACATCAACTGGAAAATCATTTGAAAATCGGGTAGCATTGAACACTTGTTTCGTAATATTTTGAAGTCTCCTCAAAAGTACTCACTCATAATCTTCAATTTTTATGGTCTTAAGTCAAATTATAATACAATATTGTTTCTTTATAAAATAACTATGTTCAGGAAAAGAATCTTTTCCAACAAGTTCATTTTCAAAGCTGTACAATCGTATATATTATATATGATAAATTATAGATCAACAAATAATTAATTGTATATATGTTGTAGTTTAACTGACTATTCTGTAAGATTTGACTACATAATTTTTTCCTAAACAAAATATTGAAGGAGAGAATTTGCAAAACATGAGAAATATATGATCAATAGATTAAAACTACGTAGCCATATTTCATATGGTAAACGGAATATACCCATTGAAACATAAAACACGAAAGATTGGTTCAACGAAGAGTTCTCTTCTCAGCGAATTCATTTTCAAAGCTGTACAGTTGCAAATATATACCTATTCTTCAAAACGATAATAATTACAATAATAGTGATAAAATTCTGTTAAACATAATAACAGTGAGATAGAATAAACAAGAGTATAAAAATATCCTTTTTATTAAGGAAACTTAGTAATTTTGTTTCTGGGATCTTAAATATTCATCATGAAGAAAAATAAGGAAATTATAACTGCGAAGAGAAGACTCAGTATGATAAAATGTTGAAATTGAGATGAACTATAATCAGAAAGATCATAGAAACATAAATATATCAGTTGGGGGTTGAAGATTAATTGAGAAGATGGATTTAAAAAAAGAAAAAAATTACGAGAGATTATGACTATGATAGAAGGAAAGGTTGTGCAGGTTTCGTCTGGACACATAATTCTAGTTTTTCCAGATGTATAGGTAGTGCTTCGGTAATGTTAAAAAGATGGAATATAGCTGTCTTTGGCAGCTTTCTACTTACCTGTAGATGACTTTGAACAGCTTTAAAAATGAATTCGCTGAAAAGGGAACTCTTGGGTTAAGATAAATTATACTTTCGCCTCAGTTTTGACCTTACTCTTGGTAACCAACCAAAATGAGGCAGGATATGTTATTTACTCTTTTGTAATCTATGCTGGTCTCCATGTTTCGTTATCTCGTTTTTCTGGCTTACGTGAGGAATGTTAAGTTTTCTGCGACGAAAATATCACTCCATCATGCTACAGACGTGTCAACCATAGATCAGTCAGTTATGATATGGAAGAAAGATTGCAACCTAGCAAAAGATTTACCTCCAATTAATTCTATATTAGAAAATATTCTAAAATATCTACAATTGAGTAACTAAATCAATGAAAATCTAACCGCACTTGCTGACTTCCATGTACTTATATGACTTAAAAACGTGGAGTTTATCCCCAGCCTGACTCTTCGCTGAACCAATCATTCTTATTTAATATTTCCTAGAACTACCAGTCACATTCTAACAGATATGCAATTAATTATTCATTGACATATATAATATATACGATTGTATAGCTTTGGAAATGAACTTGTTGGAAAGGATTCCTTTACTGAATTAAATTGTTGCATGGGTGTACTTCAATAAATATTATTTCTTTCTCTAAGAATTTTTTGTGTATCAATAAAAATATTGTCAAGATAAGATTTCGGATTATTTCATTATTTTCATTTACTTGAACCAATCGAACAACATACACTCATGATGTGTAATGAATGAAAATATTTGTCACAGAAATTATTTTCATGAAGGCCGTAGGGAAAGAATTTTCTGACTTAAACGTATTATATTTTACTATCAATCAAAACTGGTTTATATTAATCTGTTAATCACATTTTGATTATATATGTATATATAACATGACAAATTTGTGTAGGTCAAACCGTTAGTCTCATGAGAATATTTGCAATTTATGTGCTGGAATTAAGTTACCATAACCTTACAGAAATAAATTATATCGATTCAGTTTTTATGACGGCGTTCTACATAAGATAATGTTTTCTTAATGTAGGTATATGGTTGAAGTGTATTTGATGTTTTCCCATGGTAGCTGGTTACAAAATAATTATTCGTTTAAATTACAGTCATCATAATGATTATGTTCGCTTGTGACATCTGATAACTTGTTACTACCTGATAGTTCTAGGATTTTTCTTTCATTTCGATTATTTTTAAAGTTTTCTTGAATACCTACCGTGTACACAAATATGTTTCTTGGGTTTAAACAAATTTTCATCACCTGTGAATAGTTTACTATTTTCCATGATCGGCTAATTTATTAGGAAAGTTACAAAATCTTTATTGCTTGGTGTTTAGTGAAGTACTGATAATTGACTGAGCTTAGTTAGCTATATTGCATTAGTCATTTTCAGTTACATTCTCTCTCTTTCTAATTGATCGATTCGCTTTTCATTTATGAAACCTATCCATTTCGTTACTACAGTGATTAGAATAATTCTTATGGATTTCCATCAATGTTACAGAGATTTTTATGTAGTGTGTGAATGTATATCTGCAACAAACTCGGCTGTCTTCCAATATATAACTTTAACAGATGACAGTTAAATTTAAAAAATATGAGTAGACTACGATTGTCTTTCAAATTTTTATTTCAATCTACTGGGAACTGCAAAATGTTTTGGTGATATGTGACAACGTTAAACTTACAGCCCTAACTAACAGAGATAACCTAGCTCACAAAGTTTGCATATGCTTGTAACTTACAGTATAGTGCACTTATACGTAATTATTTATTGGTGTGTATCATTATATCAATGTATTTCTATATTACTAAATGCGTTTCAGAAACTCCCGTCTTCTATTGGCAATTTAGTCTCCATGTTTCATCTGAATGTTGATCAAAATCAATTGACTGAGTTACCCTCTGAGGTAAGAAATTTTTAGCGTTTTGTTTTCTCACGACTGCTATTGATGTTGTCTGAATATTTTCCTTTTATAATGCATTTGCTTTCTCTTTTGTTATTATGATTCCTATTTATTTCTTATTTCCGTCGAATTCAGTTGCCTTTGATTCTGCTTTTGTTAAGGGATTTCTTTACATAGGCCTCATGTGTCATCAGACTAAACACGTAAAAATAAGTATTAGGAGAAGTAAAAACGTAATACATTTCCTAGACATTCTTTACCTAATATAGATAAGACATGCCAAGACCGTATTGTCTGATGAATAGAGCTCTGGAGTGTTAGTCAATGGGTCCCATATTCTTATCCTGTCCAATGCATTAGAAAAAAGTTTGAAACATTTCAAACAAAATGCTATTTTAAAAACCTCGAAGATATTATTGTATCTTTAATTTATTATTATTGGTGAAATTGATTTGTATATAAATTGCGACATGTGTATACAACAGAGCTGTTGATCAAATCCAGGATGTGCATTTCATTGCATTTAGGAATCGTTAACTGGATGTATCACAATATCACAGCCCACACACAAATCAAGTAACTTGTGTGGCGCATATGTATGCGGTACCTCTTTGTACCAATATTTATGTGTTCACATAAATAAATAAATGTATTTGTAGCTATGAGGATGTTGACTGTGAATCCCAGACCCAATACTATCGCTTCAAGCGCCAGAACATCTACTAGTTTATACAGTTGTTTAACATTTCAGTTGATTTCTGAAGTTCACTATTTATTATCATTATTGTTAACTCATTAACCAGGCGTAGATTTGTGTATTTGACTTTGAGCCACACTTTATGCATTAGGACTAGTGGTTATACTCGGTTGCCCAAATCGAAGCTGGTAGTGCGGGGCTCTAACCTTCGACTTAGTGGTTAAATTTCGAACGCCTTGAGCATTAACCTGTCGCTTGTGACCATTATTCACTATCATCGTCGACCGTATGTCGTCGCTTTCAATTTAGTTGACCTCATGTAGCATGGCTTTTCAATGAAACTGGAGGAAGTTTATCTCCACTAGTTACTAATTATTAATGATATTGATTCATAATGAGGTAAACTCCCATCAAATTAGTTGATTATCACTACATTTAATTCCACTGAACTATCTTATGAAATTACGTGAATCGTGTAACAAATAGTACCAAAAGTAGTGATGACAATGTAAATTTTAAATAAACACATTCTTTGTTATGTTTATGTAATATATGCTTCATGCAGATTGATTATAACCGATACTCGTTAACCTAATAACTTATCAAGTAATCAAATTTCTTTCTTGATATATATATATATATATATATATTATATATATATATATAATATATATATATATATATATATATATATATATATATATATATATATATATATATATATATCGTCGCATACCTTTTAAAATGTAGCATTTTTTCGATTATCTACTTAAAGCCAAGTTAAATAGGTTAATACATAATTGTATTTCGACAAAAATGCATATTAAACGTTCGTTAAAGAAATAGTAGTTACTACTTAAACCTTAACTTGCTTAGTTTGTTGGTTGTGTTATGCCGTTCACGATGCTTGACATGGTGAACATTTGGAGCTGATGGTTCTGGGTGTTGTCCACGCTCTATCAGGTTTTTCTACTCAAACAAATAATATGGGTAAATATGATATGATTATTCCTAGTCAGCTGTGTATCTAATTGATTCAGTTTTCCCAGTTGAAGTTTTACAACCATTTGTATTGACCGTTTGTGTTACTTTCATATAACTATCGAAGTGTCAGTGGCTACCTGTTAACCACCTTCTTTGACCATAGATGGTATTGGAGCTCCTCTACTTTGATGACTCACTTGATCCTGATTGTTTGGAACGATTGTTCCTTGGAGTCAGGTTAGTTGGCGAATGAATCTGTGGTTGAGAAGCACAATATTTGATTATTATGTGGGTAGTGTTTTTATGTCTTCAATACCCGTCGACAAATATCACTCGCCAAATCACCAATCAGAATCCTGGTTCTCATTGGGTCTTTTATTTACTCTATAGCTTAGTATCTCTAAATTAGCCAACTGCACGCTCGACCAGCACTATTGACTTAGAGCCGGCGGCTAGGTTCCTATTGGTTCATTATTCGAAAGCCCTTTCTTAAAGTCAAAAGTCATCAATTAACTTCTAATATATATTCCAAACGGACGTGGTTTACATACGGACATACCAGACGGTACCACACTATAAAATGGGAAATAACCATTGTACATGAACAAGCCAAAAGTGCTAGTGAACAGGGGGGACTGTGAGTAATAGACAGGCAATAAATTAGGAATAGCATATCTCACAACATTAGTTAATGAGTCAGCCGAAAGCTTATGATAAGTGGAATATATGTACATATTGATCTAGTTACTCAGTGATTATACAACAAAATTATAGTTAATGATTCAAAAAACCTGTTCCAATCTTTACAATATTCGTTCTGTCATAACAGTATTCACTATTTCTTTGCCTTGAAGTGTATTCGATACAAACTACGACCTTAGAATAACCAAATATAACAAATATATGTATTTTTTGTCTTGCCACGTTTATTTTCGAGATAATAATTGATATTATAGTAGTTTTGTAATAAATGAAGTATTTAATTGGGAACAACTTTATACAATGATAGTCCAATTGTTGATAATAATAGACTTGATTAGCCAAATTTGTCTCAAAATGAAATCATTTAGTAAGGATTTGAATTTATAAATTCTGACAATGCTTTATATGACATTTCCTCTAAATTACTGAAATGCAATATAGGTTTACTGTTTAGCCTACTACTTTTCGCTGTATTTTTTTCATGGTTGAAGCTTCACTAGAGCTAATCACCATTCCATCGATGTTATTCATAATGCAGGTGAGCATCTAGTAGTTATGCTTCGACAAGATATTATAATACTCTGATAATAAGGTCTTAACAATACATGAATTAGTCTAAATTGTCTATCGTAACCAATGATTGAATGCGTTCAATTTTGCGGACTGCTTTTGCTGTTAGTATAAAGTTCTACGCTTAGATGAGATGAGTTCCCGACCGTTGCCGCTACCTTCACATGGTGGTCAGGCTTGTCTATCGTGATGAACCAATTGCGTTATACTGGCTGGAACAATGGTTCCTTAATGTCCTGTCATGTCAGACAGGTTGGTTGAAGAGCAAAAAAGGTTCTCAAATGCCCTGGTGCGGCCGAGAGTGGGGAAAGTCAGCTATCCCTCACGAAATCCTCTCACATGGCCACGTGCATACAACCGCTACCAGGGAAGTCCTACTCACTACCTTCTCGTGGTGAGGGTGTTGTTTACGAAATTAAGAAAACGAAAAGCGAATGTCAGGCGCCTTAACCGGGTTGGTGGACATGGAGAGTCCACCTACGGGAGTTGGAAAACCCTGATTCTAAACCAATAGTGCAGATGGGCTCCAGTATCCTGAGGGAACAAATGGCGTATGAACCAATCGTTGGTCACCGGCTACCATGGAACTGCATCTTCTTACGATGCTCCACTGCCTTGTGGATCAGACCTGTAGGTCAAAGGCTGGAAGTGTGACTCCTAAGAAAACCACCTGCTTCGGTTTGGGCACCCGGGCAGTATTACAGCCCTCACGCATATCAAATGAGATCTGTGTGGCGCATATGTATTTGGTGCCTCCTTGTACCAATATTTATATGTTTAACTGATAATAATATGATTGAATAGCGGTAAAACTAAAACCCAAGGTCCGAGGGCGAAGTCGTACTGCTGAATGTTCAGAGGTGTGATGGCAGTAAGGTGTTTCCCTCAGACGACCAGCATAACAGCTATCCTGTCTTTCCACAAAGGAAAGATTGGGTTAGAATAGGTTGACCTTAAAAATGCACACCTCACCTTATCCCACGAATGTCCGTCTTTGCCGGTAAGGTCACCACAAGTACGGAGCTAACAAGAAAATTACCCACAAAACGTTCGTGTGTGACCGGCCTTAAGCAATTTTCTCTTGCGTACTGGGGTCACGCTCTCAGGTCACTAAGGCCACCTCTAATCCTATTTCCTTTTCAGCTATCTCTAGAAAAACCCGCCCACAGTGCGGGAAGTGATAACCATCCTCATACCTTTAACAACATTCAACACTGGTTGATCTCCCAAGTTAAAGTATATCATATACACTTATCTTTTCATTCTGCGTCCAATGAATTCCATAACTTTTATTTTCTTTATTTAAATTCAGACACGATTCAACTTGACCTGTAAGAGAAAGATCTTCAACCAATCTGTGATTTTACTACAAACAGAATTAACTTCTAGCAGTTAGATATTATTACATGTTACCTTAACCTGTCGATAATGTTTCGTATGGATGTTAGTTTCACTAAATGTATTTACTGTACACAACTCTCTCTCTCTCTCTCTCTCTCTCTCTATATATATATATATATATATATATATATATATATATACGAAGCGTCACAACATATGACTTAATTATTCATTCTCTGCCACAAATTTCTTTGTATTGTATTCAGGAAGCAGATAGTAATTGTAATTGATTTTGTGTGTAGTACTATTAAATAGATTCAGTTGTATTGATAATAGTAGTGGTATTAGTTGTAGCAATAATAGGTTTGTTTTGTGTATGTTTTTTTTGCTCTATCCAATTCGGTTTCCTTGTCCTACATAAAAGTGTCAGTGAACTGACTTAACTACACTAACAACCATAAATAAAATGTGAATCTTTTATGTGAATGTTATAGGGCATACATTTTATTTATTTATTTATTCGTTGTAAACTATCCTACTGAACCAACAACTTGACGGACTGTACACAGTAATACATGATGGTAATATATAACAATGGCTTAGTGGTTAAGATATTCGACTTTCAACCCTCAAGCTCCGGGGTCGAACCCTTCTACACTTATGTCATTTTGAACAACCAACTAGTATAATTATCCCTTACACTTAAAGTGTGGCTTATATTCAAGTACCTGGTGAGTGAGTTAATTAGTATTCACTAATATTGGCCTAGTACAAACGATTTAGTTATTCAACTTGTCTGATTTGTTAAGTTTATTATATGGTGTATTCTTTTGTTTCTTTGTTCCATATATTTTAATTCTACTTCACCTTTTTTTCTTCAAATTTTATTAGATTGGTCAATGTGCATCACTTAATATTTTGTCTCTTCGAGAAAATAATTTGCATAGATTACCCAATGAAATTGGTAATTGTACACGTTTACGAGTTTTGGATGTTTCTGGGAATAGGTAGGTTTATATGTATTTTTCAACAGTTGTTATAATGATAATATTGTCATATCTTTGAATATGCTAACTTTCCAGAAAGAGTGAGGTAAAACAAAGTACACCTGTCATTGACAAGCTTATACGTGTCCATGTGCACGGCAGAAGCTTTTGATATTTGGCTGAATTAACAATTTCGCTATTCAGTTGCGTAACAATCAAAAACTTATTTCAAAATACATGAAATCCGTTCAAGGTTAACATACTATATACTTATCCACCCGTTTATAAAAGCTTTTCGAATGATATAGTTGTGTTTCTAAGATGAATCCACAAAGAAGCCTGCAGTAAATTTATTATTCATAATGAAATGGTTAGATTTAGACTGGTTATAACTACATTTATTAAACTATATACTTCATGTAATTCCACTGATTGGCCATAGACTGTAATCATAGTCTTCGTTTCCGTTAACATTAATTGGACCCGAATAAGATAGAACAAATAACCTAATACGAGCAATCTGATTCAAGTTACCACTTATTCCTTATCATAACATTTTCTTTAATTTATATTTGTGTACTCATTTGATTGTCATCCCTGAATTTAATTTTTCAACATAATCATTTCCTTACACGATGATGTTTCAGTCACTTTTTATATTCACGGCAAATGTATACCAAATCATATTCAGTAAAGGTCGCTTCATATGTTAACTGTGCTTGATTTCTATCTTAGAGAGTATTCTTTCTTTATAGTTTATGGTTGTATTTATTTATTGAAATAATTGTTATATTATTGAAATTACTTTCTAGACTTGATCGTTTACCGTTTAGTTTATCAAGATGCTCATTGACAGCTTTATGGCTTTCACAGAATCAATCTCAACCAGTTATTACGTTACAAAGAGATGTGGATCCTGTTAATCAAGAACAGTATCTCACATGTTATTTACTACCACAGGATCAACTAGACTCACGCGTTGAAACTGGTAAGGTTAAGCTTCTTTTTCAATGCCTTTTATTAGATATTTTTGAATTTTGTTTTACTGTTTGTAGCACACTACAATACCATGTCATTTGGCTTCATTTTCCCAGTGATCGATAAACTCTAATATTATTGAACATTAATTCATTTAAATAGTTTTAACTTTAATTATCTGTACCACCGTTTACACTTATCGTAGTTATGGTATACATATATACTACTGTTTTTGTAAACACTTAAGTAGCGAATAGATTTCTTAGAAAAAATCTTTTAGTAAATCACAAATCATGATATGTATTTGGAGGCGAATACCCTGCAATCAGACTTTATTGATTTTGTGCATTCATCATAAATTTATATCTGAGTCCGTAAAGACTTCACTGTCTACATTTCATCTGAACTACCTTCTAATACTTAGCCTTTATTATCACTTTGCGTAATGGAATTGCTTCTTAAATTTGTCCCATTTCGGGTTATGAATTGATTCCTCTCTTCACTAATAGATATGCGAATATACACTTAAATAACACGACACATTTTTCCACTCAGTCCTTACTAGATCAATTTGTATCAACTTAACGAAGAAAGGTGTTAGGACAGCACTAAACATAAGTTATATGTCAAAAAGTAGTCGAGTGGATTGTAATATCATTTGTAAATGAACTTGTTGTGGTCGTCATTAGATAGTATTTTTAAACTTCGTATGCTGTTCGTTCTGATAACCGTTACCAGATAACACCCCCAACGGTGTATAGATCAGAAGATGAGTACGAAGTGTTGATCGCGTTTATTATTGCATGACGCACAGATCACTAAATCCACAGACACGCGAAACAAGAATGAAAAGCTAATACCAAAAAACAAGCAAGTGAGAGAGTGTGCGAGGCAAAATGAATAAGATTAAAATGTGCATATATATACATAGGGAAAAGAATGAGCCATCGAATCATTTAAGCTACTAACACCAAAGTTAACAGAATGAATATATGCGTAGGTGGTAAGCAATGCTCAACCATACATATTCATACAACCGCAAAGATATTCATAGTACAATGGTATGGATAAGTTGTTATTGTACGAACGACTCTGTTCGTTAAATAAGTTGACAACAGGGCTTAACCAAATTAAATGTGAACAAACTCAAATGTACGTGAGCTGCTATAAGCCATGTGAAGTGGTCATTACTTTGATGCTTTTGTCAAGGTTTTGTGTTATTCAAAGGGAATTTTATTTGTAACCGACATTTAAGGTCCAGAGTCTCTAATGTACATTACTAAAATCCTAAATGAAAACGATATATAGTTATCTAGCATTGTGATTTTCAATAGTTTTATAGTCGATGACATTACATTATGAAAAAAACAATGAACTCTCGTACTAGTTAGTAATTACTAGCTGCTTGTAATTCGAAAGTAGTTTTCATTAAAAATTATGTGTTTCAAGTTTAATGTGTGGTGAAAATCCCTATCCTTGGATCAACTTAATCTTCAACAAAACAATTGTCAGTAGTTGCTCTACTTTCTCATGCTTTAATTTATAGTTGTGCTTCATTTTTGATTGGTAGATAGGTAATATTGGTTATGAGATGCTACTCCTGTTTATATATGTAAATAATTCGTTCTCACTTGCATACCGCTAATATTTTATACAAAAACTATAGATTATAGTAGGGGCAGTTTGTTTGGTTACTAGATGACTTTTGGTCATTAGTTTTCTAGGTATGTTTTTCCCCAAGTATTTTTGAGTGGCGCAATCAATTATGTTTCTAGATACTTCGAAAATGTAAGATATATGCATATACCCATATATATATAATCTCATTTTAGGACTTACCGTTAATAGAAATTATTTTTAAGCGTATGAATTCGAGGATGACAAAATTGGTGGTTATTGTAGTTTGTTAGAAGGATTACTGAGTGTGTGTGTTGTGTTTAGGATTGTAGGATAAAGAAAGAAATTTGTTACACATCTTAGAAAATGTATGGATCAACAGTAAGTCTAAAAAATTAATGGCAATTTACAGTTGATTGGTTACAGGGCCATTAACAAGTCGATTGTAAATATCTCAGTTCTCCAAGAGATCAGTTACTATCCTAATAGCTCAGTGGTAGTATTTCAGATTATTTCTCTGTATGATACGAATTCAAATCCTGCAGAGCATCAGTCCCCTACGATTGATTCCAAGTACTACATGTTAGTGACTGGGGTTTTGTATGAAATCTAGATCCAGTGTTTCCTATAGACCACCTCCGACCGCCTTACAATTGATGATAATAGATTTAGTGAGTCACATCTTGTTTAAGGTCTTACATTGTGACAAGTAAAAAAGAATAGTTATTCTTGTGATCCAGTACTAGTTGTAGAGCTTGAAAGGAAAATAGGGCTCTGGTATGCCTTATTAAAAGCAACTCTTGCATACTTTCTTGTTACTATATTAATGCATGCTGATGTTTTTTCGACTTTGTGGTTTGCATTCATTACATGAGATAACTCGAGAAGATTGGCTAATTTAACTGTTCATTTTCCCAGTCACGTTAAGCATTTTTAATGAGACTAAGTTTTTCTGGTGTTTTCGGATGGGCAGTTAAATTTGTGAATGTAGACTAGATCATTTTGTTCTTGTTTGATTTTGCTTTCGATAACGCAGGGGATGTAATGTTTAAGTTCAGCAGTGTGTTATTTAAGGTAGTGTAAGTTATGAATCCATTTATTTCCCATCTTTGAAAGCAAGTATGTCATTCCAACTGTTTACTACTTTTCACAATTCTGAATATTAGTGTGTAATTTTGTTTTGGTTGCTCATTCAACTACAATTTAGCAGCTGTAAGACTGCAATACATGTCAAACTGTCTTTCTACCTACTCTTAGTCTTGATTTTAATTCATAAGATATTCGTAGTGAAATATCTTTACCAATATGGTAACATTATAGTCTAAATGATGTTTTTCATAATACTCTTTATAATCTGCGTGTTTCACAAATTAAAAATATTTTTATCATTCATAAATAACACTTTAACATCTCATTATTTAAAGTATTTCGCTTTATCCATCCCAAATTGTTTTTGCTCAATTTTGAGAATTTCTTTACCATGATGAAGTACGCTAGATTGACCGTACTCTCTGCGAAGGGTAATAATGGGAATCAATAATTATTTTTCCATATTTAGCCGTAGTTAATAGCAATAGGGTTTAACACAGTGGTAAAGTTTACCGAAAGTGTAACGATTTATACAATATAAAATCTAAAAATCTAATGTATGTTTGATAAATTTAATTAAGTTTTAATTTAATCTACTGACTTTAATCCTTAATAATAGTGCTAAAAGTTAGATGACCTGTCGTGATCTTCGCGATTAGTTGTACTGCGTAAATCCAATCTCTTTAAATATATCACTAATACTGTGTATTTATGTAAAGATTTCCAGCTGTTCAGGACTCGGTGCAGAAATTGAGTTTCTAGACATAAACCATTTAGTCGTGATATTTCTGACTCGTCTGAGAATATCTTCTAACATGATAAAACAAATACAATATATAATAACTGACTCACTACCCAGTATATGGTAAACTGACAAAGACTAAATACAAGATATGCCACCAGTAGTTTAAATATTAAAGTAGACACGTACTTCCTGGTTGAATTTCATGTACTACTTTAAACTGTGATTGTAAGCATTTAGAAGTGTAGCTCGAAATCGACTGTACTCAAGGAAGTACATTCAGTTTTTTCCCATCTTATCGAATTTCTGAACACTATGATAGGGTCTGTCACACCACCTCCGCCTTAAATCAGTGTTGAGTAAAATATTGTAAATGTATCCCTTACCCAAATGCTAGAAAGCCATGCTTAATGTTCACAAAATCTGAAACGTTTAACAGCCCCATCTTTATTGTTAGCTGTTGTTCTGAGGTCATTGCTTACTATAATTTATAAATTTTTATATTCAATTAATTTTATGTTATGACATTTCAGTCATTTATGTCACTAAATATTTGAGTTTTTTCGTAAGAATTTCAATTCCCAATTTTCCTCCGTTTTCTTTTGTGTTCTCTTATAGATCCAACTATGTCACCATCTGAATTAGATAGCTTTTCTGCTTCACTAAACGCCAACACTAAAACAAACCATGATTTACTTGACAATATCAGTGCTGAAATAAATCATACCTATGAGCCTGCAGATATGCATATATCAATTCCTCAATCAGATCTTTCAAAAAATGGAAGTATTTCACCATCGAAACATGAATCGACTAAACCATCGACTTCACCATCATCAACACTGAATGATAATTCAGCAATCACAAATGATCCTAATTCATTAAACAATCATCATTCAATTAATTCTACAACTAATCCTACAAAAAATTTACCATATTCAAATTCATCTATTAATTCACCGTCAAATGTAAATCGTAATTTAGATTCATCCTATACATCACCAAATCATATAAATGATCTTTCTACCTCATCTGCACATTCATCTCTATCTATGCAAACATCTGCATCAACTCGTGTTCATTTCTCTGGTTCAGTTAAACCTGATGAGATGGTAATATATTAATACTGTTCTTTATTATTAATTCTACTCTTTCATGTCTTATGATTTTCTCTTGAATTACTTTCATTATTTCGTGATAAATATATTTTGTGTATCCTCTATGTGTATACACGTTTGTCTACTCATTTCTCTACTCTATATGTGTACTTGTGTTATGATTATGTAAAGCATTATATTTACATAGTTTTTGAACCATAACGTTTCACTCCATTATTCATAACGATAAGTAGCTTTTTTGTCTCGGAAAACAATAAACCATAAACTTATTCTTTCCTCTTGATGCTTACTTAATATGTGTTGAAGTGCCTTTGAATTGTGAGAGAAGTATTGAATTGCTTCAATACAAACGTCTACTGATAGATACTATGCGAAAGAATCTGAACAAGTCAATTTACTTCACGGTGTTCATTAATTCGTTTAACAATTATGAACTGATAACTAGATCTCAGTTCAATTAAACCAGTTGATGTACCGTTGATAACTGCCTATTTTCATTCTTTAAAGCTTCTATTGAGTTGAAGAATGACTGTATATTTTGTCTACATACAAGCTGGCAAGTATATGCATATTTAGGTCTGTTGGATTGATTATACACTCTACCTAGCGCTCTCTAATCTGGATCAAACATAGTCCATGTAGATAAAATATAGCGTGATAGTAGTTATCTTTCCAGATACAATATAGTAGAATAGTTTCCTCCTGTATATCAATGTTGTCCCCAGTCATGTTCATCTACAAATATATTCTATTTATCCTCACTGCCTTTCTTGTTAATTCAATAATACACATTTTAAACGTGCAAATCTTTCTGAATAGTGTGATAACTTTGTCTTCTCACTGTTAGAAGAATCCATAAGTTTTTAAAAACGAAAATCTTTTTTCTACAAAACAACAGTTCAACTTCAAACAATTTTGTATTACTGTTTTTCTTACCGTGTCACAAAAAACTGCATTGTCAGTAATGATATAATTATATCGCTTTAGTTTACTCAACGTCCAACCTTGTATTAATGGTAATATTGTTCACTTACATCCGTATCTAAATCCTAAGCACCAATCCAAACCTGCTGTAGGAAATAGTTTTCCCTTTGTTCACGGTGTATTTAATACTTGAAATCTGTTTTTATTGAATTTACTTCATTCATTTCCATATTTTTATTGCTTTATTTATTATTATTATTATTATCATTATTATCAACAGGATAAATCAGGTTCCAAAGGTTTTCCAAAAACACGTCATCCCCGTTCCGGTAAAAAAGCTACTGATAATCATCTTATTAGCGGTAAAGACGATTCCAGTCAATGCAAAAGTGTAAGTTCCTTTTGTTAATTATTTAAATTTTTATACAGTTCTTTAGGAGTGCACAGGTTACTGTAAAAGAAATTATTCGTCTTACAAAAAGTGTTTTTTATGTATGTAGATTAGTTAATTCTGCCTACTACTGTATGTTATTTTCGGTTAGTTTTGAAAATAGCATAAATAACATTAAAACATGTAATATTTTTGGATAGTTCTTACTACTTTGTTTCTTCTCACTGTTATTATATCATTAAAATAATCGTCGATTTTATTTGATTCAAGTATTGACTTCAGTGAATACATCTCCATATGGAAAATATGTTACATCTAATTCATTATAAATAAAATGAGTATATTTCATTGGAATAATAAAATTTAGTGAATAAAAACCCGAAAATATTTATCATTTCATACTGTTGAGGACAAAGTATCAATTAGAACTTCACTATCTGTCATTCTTTCACTATCAAGCATACGTGAATTAGTAGAATTTATTCTTGATGAATCCAGATGACTTTTTATTCAATTTCACTGTCATGTAGATATCAATTGTTGCTGAATCCCAGCTTGACACAGAATCACCTAGTGTTTTCAAACATTTATACCAATAAAATATTGGGATTTTTATAAGATCTAAAAATCTGTCACCGTATTGTTGATATAAACTCCAAGTAAATCGGACTACAATAAATAATGACAATTGGCAAATATTTTTACTGTCTGTCTACATTGTTTCTAGCCAGTTCACTACTTAATAGTATGTTCAGTGTTATTATCATTTAATTGCAAAGGATAACCTTGTTAATAATGAAACATTTATTATTTCTTTATCGACTTGAAGTTTCATTTTAATCTTGAGTAGTTGAACTCAGTGTTTGCTCATGATTATTCAATGACCGTAATTAAATGCTAAATTTAGTATAAGAATTTTATCATCATTACTGAACACTTTTCAATACAGTCATAACATTTTTCTCGTTCAGCAGTAGTGGATAGAAAGAATCTGTTCACTATGATTGTACAATTAAATAAGATATCGAGCGAATGATATCAAACTGACTCTGTTTTTGTTTTTGTAATATATGCAAGCATTCATCGACTATATCATGTTTTCACTATCTCTGAAGGTGTTTTGAACTTGAAACATGTGATATGCATGTTGCACTAACCGTTTACTTCATACCTGATCCTAAAATCAATTATTTATTTGCATAAACGGTTTTGAAACTAGAGTTTGTGTTTACCACTAGTTTTTATGTATATGCACTCTTCTATTCTCTATCTGTTTCTACATTCGTTAGCATACTATTAAAAAAAACAGGTGAAAAATAAGATAATCACAAATTCACTTATTGAATATTTAGATGGTGAACAGTAGTATAATATTTCTCTTAACAGTTAACTTCATATACAATAGTACAGTTTTGTAAGATTAAATGATATACATTAGAGTGATTGTAAAGGTCTTACCTGTTTCGATTGTTTGTCTTAGTTCATAATTAAAACAAGATTTTTGTTTTAGCAACAGAATAGGAGTATGTAGTCAACTAACTTGATTCTTAATTCCTTAAATCGATAACTATCCAAAATCTTAATCTCATTAGTATTCATTTTATTCTTTATGTGACGATAACTTATTTGTTTCGACATTTGACTTTCAACAACTCATTCATAGGTCTGAGTCTTGCTCTACCTAATTTAGTTTGGGCAACGTGATAGTATTACTAAACGTCACACTTAAAGTGTGACTAAACCAAACACATAAACTTGTACTCGGCGAGTGAAATAAATCATATTCTTTGAGATGTGATCGTTTCTTGTACTAAAAAAGAGTGCAAATCGTGTTATCAGAACCCACAGCATACTTAAGAAATCTGTTATCGCTAGTTATGTCTACATCTTGATTTATTACAAGTTTTTTAAATAACTTGACTAGTTGCACACTACAGATGATATCTGAGATAGTGTGATTCTTGAAAATGATTATTAACCATTTCGATCTTATTCTTCTATCTAATCTGATTTTTTTAAAAGCTTTATAGTCCTCTTATTTACTGATTAACACCAGTATTTTCGGATTTTCATGGCTTCTTACATTCTTTTTTACTCCTCAGCCATATTAATTAGTTAATAATCATTTAGATCATAGGTTAAATTGGTCAGATCAGTGTCTATGATCTCGGACAAGAACTCATGCTTACATTTCTTATCATTGTGTAATATTCCTAAAATAGGGCTCCATTAACAATAGTTAGCTTCCACCATTTTTTTAGTTGATATCGAAAAAAAACAGCCGATTGCTTTTCTTTGACCTCATACTTTTAAACATTGAACTAGTCCTTGCATTTTCACTGATTACCATAAAATTGTGCTTACACGAACTCGTACTTAGTTAGTAAGTCACATTTGTAAGGGTTTTTTTATCATTGTCCCATATCGTAATCCAATATTTTCTCCCTTTATTTTCATATTTAAGGCTAATTTATCTTCAAATACATTTTCTGATGGCACCAGTTCTGCTAGTTCATCAGAATCTCTAAATGATGGAACTGCTCCAATCTCACTGTCGGAATCATTAAATCATGATTGGAAGTCTCCAAAACCTATTGATTCTAATTTTAACTCTTCCATTTATCCAAATCATCTAATGAAATCGAATGATGGGAGTTCTGTGGTGACTAACGATAATCTTATCTCCACCGAACCGACTGCCAAGTTAGTTACCATTATTTTTTATTCATCCCATTTGATATACTAACTACAACAGTGTTTTCAATTTTCCTTACAAATATTTCCTATCTGTGGTAGTAGTTCAAACTGCCAGTTTTAAAACCAGGGTTTTTCCTAAGGCTTTAGTATGGTTTAGAAGAGAGCAAAGCAAAAGCAAGTGTTTACGCTTATGTAATGTTTACGTCTTTCTGTCGAAGATCAAGCGTACATGTCTCCTTGTATGATAATTTTAAACTTAAAATCTAAGGTAAGGCCAATAGTAAATTCACGTACACCATTCCAAACAATTTTGAACCATGTCACCCAGTTTCTAACTATTGGTTACGGAATTTGTGCGAACCCTAGCCAGATTGTTTACACCTACGTACTCGGCTCAGTTTGTCGTTAAAGAATAAAATGTAAATAAAATAGCGATTCACAGTTGAAAAGTTATGACTAATGTATTTATTTTGAGTAAATTCTTATCAACATTAAAAGTGTGCAAAAAAACTTTACTATCAGAAGTTATCGAATCTTTTTAATTTTAGTATTCACTCGCATCACACTTCTCCAAATTTCTAGCCTATAAACTGTGACAAAACTTTCGATCGTTTAAGATAGTAAAATCATTTTCTAAGCTCTCTATTTAAGCAGTGTTTAGACAGTCAAATGATTATAACTTAAGATTAAATACTCTACCCTTGTATGTGTGTCAATTCACTGTTTGACGTACTACATACTTCCTGCTTATGTTCATTTTTATTTTTATAACTTTCCTTTGTTCATCGATAATATTTCCTTTATCTAGACCACGCAATAAATCTCAACATGTTACAGAAATGTTTGGTAATAAACCTCCTCAATCTTCTAATTTTTTCAATGAACACCCAGCGTCAAAATCTCCTACAGAAATAAGTAAACCTAAAATTCCTAGCGATACCGTAATTAGGATGGCCTCTGTAGAAGATACTTCAGATGCTCATTCCAATCGTGGATCTCCGGTGAAAAAATTTCCCGATACTTTGGACGTACAAGGGAATCTTGAGGAGGATGCCTATAGTAGTGGAGGTGTAAGTGTTGATTTATTATAAATATTTGTTCGATTTTTTCTAAACATTTGTTACGATTGAAAAATTTACATATTGTTTAAACGTTATCATTCATAATAGAATTACTTTTAAATAGTTCCAATTTATATTTCTGCCTAGAAAAAATCAATAAGCAAGATACTTATTTGTTTTTTTTCCACCCATATGAATGAATTTGAATTCACTAGCTGGTACTGTATTTAAACTTAAACCACCAATCATAGTAGTGGTAGAGATTTTGTCATTACTAGTAGATTCAAGTGTGTTGATTGTGTTTCAGTGAAACCTACAAAACGCTCTTCATATATAATATTTCCGAATTTTTCCTTTTGAATACCTTTTCAGGTTAACTTAGTTTGTCCTTCTCTTGGTACTGAATTCATGTTTACAAATACACCTTATATATATCAACCATTAATTACTTAGTGCATGTGTTACATATTGCTATTTTTTAGTACTTATGAGTTTTAATATTATTAGAGAAACTTTTTTCCCCAAAAATTTAAAGCTATTCCAAGTGCTAACAAAAATTGTACGCTTCCCCGTGTTACATCAGTTTTAATGTTTTCTCAGTAAATATGTCAGAGCGTGTATGACGACAACAGTTGCTATGTATATCGTTTTCCAAATCATTATCGTTATTTTTCACAAGGTACACATGACATTTACCGTCATATACATTTTCAATAATCTCAATTATAAACTTAGAATAGGATAATGTATGCCTGTCTTTCCGTCTACCGCTCTCTCTAACCAGTTTGTATCGGCTTAGCCGATCACTAGATTGAAATAATGTATTCAGTGGAAAATAACTGAAAATTATGTATAACCAATGTTCATAGTGATCGTAGTAGTGGTACTACTACTACCACTAATAATAATAATAACATTCAGTCGAATATATAGATTAAAGAAAGCTTATTATCAGAGATAATTTGGTGATTTTCACTGATCATCAGTTCAGTACCATGATACGAGATAGAATTTCCGATATAATTATAGTCTGTTTTTAGAAAAAAGAAAACTGACATGAGTAACATAGCATTTATACAAATTTGCATTGATGCCTTCATTGTTATTAGGCACATCTAAACGACATTGCAACTTTGCAGTTACATGACACGAACTGAATAGTCAAAATGATGGACATAATTATTTTATATATTGTCCGTATATGAATGGATAAATAGTTCACATGAAAAATGTTGATATGAGAAATAAACGTAACTTAATATTTTGAAGTGCTAATTCAGATCATGAACCGATCAATGTTAGACCACTTTTAAAAACTCTGGAAGCACTGAACGACCTTTTCGTTTTAGTATGAGACTCCTCAGCAGTGCACATCCACGATTCCGCACGCAAGACTCGAACCCAGGGCGTTCGGTTTTGCGTGAACACTCAACCTTTGAGGAGTCCCATACTGGGGTGAGAAAGCTGTCTAGTGCTTCCAGATTTCTAATGGTTGTCTATCTTACATCAGTTCGTAATTTCCTAAAATTCTATAATTCTCATAACCTTCATGCTAAAAACTAGAATTAGTTGCATCTATGAGCGATGTTATAAAATTTCCATCTTAACCAGATGAATCGAGCTTTATATATAAGAAATATTTTTAAACTTTTTAAGTCGTAGCTGATATTTAGGTTTATATTTCTTATTGTTTATTTCTACTCATTTGTTCGTGTATGGTTGGACTAATAAGTGGATACTGCAGACATTGTAAGCAACGAATCTGGTAAATAATGAATCTATCGATGAGGTTGTAGATAGTTGACCGAGATGGTTCAGAGGTGTGTTACACATGTTTAGCTTCCAATAACCTTGTCACGTAATCCTTGTTGTCATAGAATTAGGTTGAAATGAATTTAGTGAGAGTTAGCACAAGTGATATTCCATCAACCCCCTGAAGACATGAACTTTTGATCTGAGCCATGTGGAGAAAGTTAAGACTTCTTGATTGATGCCTGTCTTATATCTGTAATCTATAGATGAATATATTGGTTGATATTATTTATATGGTACGAAATCAACTTCCTTGATGTTGTTGCATTCTTTCTTTATCTTCCAATAACCTTAGTTGCAAGTAGTAAGTCAGTAAGTTTCAAAGCTACTGTTCAAATTGTTAGCTAACAAAAAAAGGTTTTATTACATATTTTCGAAAAACAAAATTTCAATAAAAACGAATACTTACAGATTTGTGTTAACTTAAAATCGTTTTTAAACTACCATACGCATACAGTGTTACGACGTATGGTTTATGAATTTACTACAAGTAAGTGACAAACATTTTGTGTAAATGACCTCATTTTACTAATATCAATAAACATTTGTCCACATCAGTCATTATTTATCCAACACTGTATCATAATTAGTTCTATAAATTTATTGTTATTATTTCAAGAAAGAAAAAAAGACATGTATTCAAGTTCAGACGTGACTCATTGTTGCTTCTACATGTACATGTGATTTAATATTTAATCGGTTATAATTTATGATATTACATTAGGTTGACTAATTTCAAGCTGCTACACTACTCATATTTAAAGTGAACTAATATCTAGCAATAACAGAACACATTAGGTTATCATATTACCATTAATATACATTTAAATACAAGTGCTTGTAATGATCAGCCACACTTAATATAAGACCATTAATTGCTTTGTCTAAGTCACTCTGTTTTGTGTAAATATTTTTTATGTCGGTATATGGTAGTTTTAGTTCTCTGAAACCTGTAATTATTTAGTAGGCCAGTGAGTAATTATATCTTCCGATATTTAATTGAAAATAACCAATTGATTGTATAAAGAAATTATCAGTTCGCATACCCCAATCGTATAGTATTCTTATCGTCGATTCTCGTGGCATAACTTTTGTCTTCTATTGTTTGGATGCTTTTTTACTTGAATGCTTCATGTTAACCGCATGAAAAAATGTTGCATTTGACTTATGATTTAAAATTCGGCCCTATTTCTCACAGAATAAAACTTAATTTAAACATATTGATATATATGTATTCACTAGTTTTGCTAATGAAGTAAAATATATACCCACAACCAATCAACATTCTAAAATTTTAATCTTCGTTTATTCAAACTACTTTTTAAGTTTCTTTTGAAATGGTTCTTCTCTGTTATTTTTCTGTTTGTAATTTGTTTCCAGCCACCGGATTCATAGATGTAACAAAACAATGATTGACGTAATTGCTGTTCATTTAGTTCGTTAATTAATAGTTCTAATATCAAATTAAGATTTGAATCTATTTATTCAATTACTTGAAATCTATTTCACAACTCTTCTCGAAACCAGTCATTTCATTGTCGTTTGTTAAGATTACAGAGTTTCATCAGTCTGTCAAATTATAATTTCATCGGATTTTAATTAGACTTTTTACTGTCAAAACAGATTTATGTTCTGTAAGCGTTGTAAACAAAATGTTAAAAACTATTTGATACTTAACAACATGAAATTATTCTGTTTGAATGATATGTGGAGATTTCGTATAGTTTGATTTTAGTTTTCATTATAAACCGCAATTGTAGGTATGTTGTGCACTAATAAGCTTCAAGTTAAAATAAAACAGTTGTTTCGATGCTCTGGTTTTCAGACGCTTCTTCAACCAATGTCATTTCTTTATAGAGCTGACTTCCAAGTCTTGATACTAACTGTTAATGTTTATGAACTTTCGTATTCAATCTTTCTAAAGGGTCTGTCTGTAATTATTTGTTAATTCCAATATAATAGATTTTTTCATTCCATAAGTATCCATTTCTTTAATATAGAAAGCAACTTGTCCACTGTTCTTGACAATTCAGTACAGCTTTGACTCAGGGATCTAACAACATTTTTTGATCTTTAAAACAATTATTCTCTTTGATAAATTTCGATAATGCAATAAGATGAAGTTTATCATAATTATGTGATAGATTTGAGCAATACATTTCGAACAATCTATTAAGTGGTCTAATGGTTAAGTGCTCAGGCGCGAAGCCAGTAGGTCCTGGGTTCGAATCCCGCGGGGTGCGGGATCGTGGATGCGCACTGCTGAGGAGTCCCATACTAGGACGAAACGGCCGTCCAGTGCTTCCAGGTTTCCAACGGTGGTCTAACATCAATTGATTCATGATCTCAACCAAAAATCTATTAAGTAGTCAGTTTTTGACTGTGTTACACTCATCTATTTTAATGGAGTAGTAGTAAAAATGGACTATGTTTTTTACTATTTTACATATTGTAGGAAGAGATTTACGTTATTTCTAGACGAGTTGGGTTCACAGATGATGTGGAAGATAATGAAGAGAAATCAAATCAAAAACTTATTCGACGTGATACACCACATTATACAAAACGCGCTCGAATTCAGTCAAAAACAGCTGATGGAAGTAAGTGTAATTATCAATTTTACTTTCTATTGAATGTCGATTCCAATTTAGTTAATGAAATACAGGAAATGAATTGAGAATATTTGATGATGATGTAATGAAAGACATTAAGTTTTTATAATGAATCATGTAACTCTCATTATGCAGAGATGTTTTTTGTTTCAACTTTTATTAGATGGTTATTTTTTGACTGTGTATGAACATATTTATACTCACAGCTTGTAGACTTAATAAGTTACATTAAATTGTACTAATTCAGGACCTGGTTAAGGATGATACGATGTAAACGCTAAATATAAGTTCCGTGTTTCTTGTTGTTTATTAAAATATAAGATGCTGTTCTGTGAAGTTTATATATGAATTTATTTCACAGCCACACAGTTATTGATCTCATTTCTTCGTTTGATTACCCTTGATCTCTTTTCTATCTCATCATTAATGGACACCTAAGCAAACAGTAATTAGCGATGAACTGCAACTACTTTAACCTTGTCTGTAATGGGATTCAATCACAACATATGCTTTCACATATTTAATCAGTACTTTACACCTATCATCAGGATTACCTTTTTAGTTACTCCTCGAGCAATGAACAGTTCTTTAGGTACCTTTGTGTGTACTTTATTAGTTTGTTGGATCAAAATATTAGTTTACAAGAAAATGATTAGTTTTTTTCTAACTGATTTTAGTGGCTTGTGCAAACAACTACGAAAGTAAAGTTTTAAGACTTAGTATGCTATCGCTCCATACGTATACGCGAAAACATTCAACAGTGTGTGTCTGACTGAATTGAAATGGTTGAAGTATACCTCGAGTGAAACTAGTTATTGAGACCTATCTACTGATCTCATTTCTTCGTTTGATTACCTTTGATCTCTTTTCTACCACATCAGTATTCGACACCTAAGCAAACAGTAATTAGAGAAATTATTTTATTCGCTAAAGTTCATTCATAAATAAATAATCATTGATAAAACACGTCTATTTTTTTTAATTATTAGTTTTATTGACCTATTCCTTGAAAAATACAATGTGGGAAATATTGTTTATACTCCCATATTTTTTTGCCTTTATGCGTATATTGATATTTCAACGTAGAGATAGAGAATGTAGTTGAATAAATATATGACCGTGAATATTATTATTAGTAACTCTACTTCATAACACAATTCAAATTAAGTATTACATGATTCTCCAGTCCATTTTTGTGTTCATTTATTCTCCTCTCTTGACCTCATACTATTGTATTTGCCTTTGTGTTTGTTTTCTAATCGTGAAGTGGATAGTGAAGAAGCAGTATTGAAAATATTAGAAAAGTATCGAGCATCCGTTTCACCGAATCCTGATTCAAATTCAATTGATGTAAGTCATTGTCATTATTACATTTGTTTGCTTTTTATTATCCTGGTTAATATAAAAAAAGGTTGATACTAATTCCACATTGATTTTCTAAATATTGATTTTATGCTTTTGTTTTTCTTACAAATTTATGCATATAATGCGTCATAGAAATGTTGTTTTTTTATTTTTTCAACTGAAATTCCAATAAGTCACATGTATATACTACTTTTGGTAGCCTATTAAGTGAATAAATATTCGATATGTTTTGAATTTCATTGTTTTCGTGAACTAATTGAACTTCTTACATAGTTGTTTTACTAGGACAGTAATTTTGATTTTGTGTGTTACAAAATAAGTAGTAGTTGAGTTTTGATTACTTGGCGAGACTATAATTTTTATGGGTGAACCAATGAAATTAAAGTTAATAAGTCTTGGATTTTGACTGTAAATTCATTTATCTATTTAGTTAAATATCATTTGGGCATTATAGTATATGTCAGTTCGTGATGAAAGCTATTACTTTAATTCCTATCTCTAAATTCTAACTAAATCCTAATCCTAATTTATAACCCTCTTTTGACCCTTGAAAATAAGCGAGTTGTCTCAAGGTCACGTTAGCATCGCTCGAATGTCTTTCATAAATTGTCTCAACGATTACTCTGTATATGTTCATTGAGAGAGAGAGAGAGAGAATATCGGTTAACAACTGTAAGGTTTATAGCTAAAATATACTAAATATTCTTTTTAGTCAACTGCCTGCAGGTTATTATTGTGTAACTGTGAATGTTGGATTTTCCGCTAGATCTTTTAACTTTTGGATTTACATCGAACAACAATAGTGATTAGATGTAGAAAAGTAATGATTAGGAAACAACTAAATCGTCAGTCACTAACTGTTATACTACAAGAAACTTAGCTATTTGTTCAACACTGAAAACGCATAATAACAATAACATTACAAGTGAATGTCAGTCAATTCTTATGAAACTAAATGTGTTTAATCGATAGTTATTCACTACATTATTTAAAAACTGCTTTTGACAGATTTCGTTCTTTACTTACTGTACATATATATCTAACAAAAATATCGAAGGATAGTTATAACTGACGATTAAATTATCAGTTGATGGATAAAAACACATAAAATTCGTACAAAAGGGAGTCGAAATGCATATGCACCTCATGAAGTAGTTATCATTCAATTTATGTGGGGTGGGATACTGTGCGGTTGTTGAAACTGAAACAAAAGATTTTCTTAGGGAGGACACTCCCCGAGCCTTTGACCTAGAGGTCTAATCCATAAGACAGCGAAACGCTAGGAGATCCAATTCTATGGTAGCTGGTGACCAACAATAGGTTCATATATTGCCTTTTCCCTCAACACCCTGCCCCCTATGTAAACCCACTGGTTTAGAGTCAGGGACTCCCAACTCCTCTTTGTAGATCCTCCCTACCCACTAAGCCGGTTTAACTGTCCGGCATTCGCTATCCATCCTGAATGTCGTAAGCAACAACTCTGCCACGAGGAGAGTGAGTAAGACTGCTCTGGCAAAGGCTATATATGCGTGATCAGATGAAAGCATTTCAAAAGGGAAAGCAGGCTTCAACCACCCTCGGCCTTACCAAAGCATTTGTGGGCCATTTCATATATTTCGCATCAGTAGTATTATTGATGTATTTTGCGATTCGGTTCGATTGATCCCAAGGTGATTGGAATAATTCTAACATTAACGGATTCTATTGTAAAGTTGAAAAGGCGGCAAGTGACACACACACAGATCTCCAATAATAATCTACAACGATGTGAACTCTAAAGGTAAGTTGAAGTGTGGAGAAAAATTTAATATTTTCCATGACTAATCAATGTGGAATAACTGCATATAGAGTCTGATGTGACTAGCAAACTAAAAGTTGTAACAATCAATCAGAAGATTGTGGTCATGCAGAAATACTAATTAAGAGAATTACACTCGTGGTTATCGTTGCAAGAAGGAACTAACACTTAATGACAAAACTAAAACATTTGAGGGCCTTCGTACGATTTATTCACATAGTTTCACATAATATTTAGAACTTGTCTTTCCTAATTTTTCTATTTAGTTTGACGGAGCTGTAAAACGATTTGCCTCCCCATTTGGTGGATTAAGTCCTCCTGATATCCCATTACAAAGTCGTGACTTGCATTCTCCATCATCGTTACATAGACAACCTGTTGTCGGTTGTCAACAAGAACAAGTTGAAGTTCACATCCATCGACAACCTAATGCTGGTTTAGGTCTTAGCGTGGCTGGTGGAGTTGGGTCAATACCATTTCGTGGTTTAGATCATGGTATATTTGTTAGTCGGTTAAATCCTACTGGATTAGCTGCCACTTCAGGACTTAAACTTGGCGATAAACTATTAGAGGTTAGTGTACTGTTCTGTTTTTCTTTTTTTTATTTCTTATCAGTAAAACTTTCTACGTACATACAACAACCTCGGTTATTTCTGTTCTATTGAATTTTTTCTACCTTTTTTAGGTTAATGGTGTTAGTCTTATCAATGTCGAACATAATGTAGCTGTATCTGCTTTACGTGCCAATACAAATTACTTCCGTATTCTAGTTGGTCGTGATATTCAAATGTCTACGAAAGCAGACAATTATAAAATTATCCCCCCTATGTTATCAGGAACAAAATTAAACCTGTCGACTCAATCACCACAGGTAGGTTGGTTTTTTCCCTTAAATAAAATTTGTTCGTTGTTATTGTTTATTGATTTACCATAAAAAAACATACTTAATCCTTACTTTCTTTCTTTGATTTAATCTGTTAGACCAGAATTTGTTGGGTTTTTTCAATCCATTGGTCATACCGAAATGTTCCTTGCTTTATAAGTGAAAATAAAACACAAGTGTAAACAAAATAGGTTTCAGTAGAAATAAAAAAGAGTGCATGTTGATTCTCGGTGAATATTAAATAATTACTCATCCGAAACTTATTTATATAGTGTCCGTGTAATAATTGTCATCAATGGTTGAAGACCATTCCTTATGTTCAAAACATATTCTTTATAGGTAGACATACTATCATAGGTATCTTCATTAGTCCAACTTCTATGTAGCTATTCATCCTTATTATCTTCTCTCTGGGCTGAAGTAGTGTGACCTAATGCATATTTGTACCAGCTTCTACATGTATTATGCTGACTACCTGATCAATATTACAAACATTATATACTTTTCTGTCTTGTAGTACTTGCTAAGTATATGAAACACTAACTCAGTCATTAGATTAAGTGTACGGAAAATTGATAGACTGTATCATGAAATATTTATTCCTTATTCACTGTAAACATCTCTTACTTCGTAAGTTAGTATTCAACTTCTCGGTACTATTTACTACAACATGAGAGCATGCAGTCAACCACTCAAGATTCCATAGCCTAATCCATATATGTATTTTGTTTAGACGTAACGAATTTGAATGTAAGTAGTGTAATAACTGTTTGTTCAGCCAGCGAACAGCAGTCAAAAGTTTTATACAGTAATCTAGTTTCATATTTAAAGCAATTAGTCACATAGTTTCATATTACCTATTGCCTTTAACAATAATATAGATCGCAGAGTTTAACGACCTACTGCATATTTTTCTAATGGACATTATTAGGTTTAAATAGAATTAGGTTTTTTGCTAATACCACTGAATAATTTTGACGTAGATTTTGGCAAAATAAATACTAGATAAACTTGTCCTAATCAATGAGGAAAGATAGTTTGAAAAAGATAAATTATGACATCAGTAAAACATATCAATTAAGTGTAGCTTTTTCTCATTTAAATAATGGTGATTATTGAACTGACTATCATCAGTATTACAACTTTTTGTGGTTAGACGTTTTACAGGTTTCGTTTTACATGTTTCTTTGTCTTATAGGGAACATAAGATAGCTTTACAGACTAATAAAAGAAACTGGAACTAATAAATCAAGTGTAAGTGAGATTATATCGGAAAAAGACGATACTCTCATCTGCTCCCAGTCCAGACGTTTAGAACGATGGGCGGAACATTTTAGAGAACAGTTCAGCTGGCCTTCAGCTACTCTACAACTACCCTCCATTCCCAGACAGTGTGAATGGAACATTGAAGTAGGTCCCCCAACTCTAGCTGAAGTTCAAAAGGCTATAGTTAATCTGAAACGAGGAAGGGCAGCTGGTCCAGATGGATTGGCTCCAGAAGTCTTTAAGGATGGTGGTCCAATTTTAGCGATTAGGTTGACTAATATTTTAGCTAAGATCTGGGAATTAGACGTTATCCCATCTGACTGGTCGCAATCACTTATCGTCCCAATATATAAGAAAGGGTCAAAATCATCCTGTGACAACCACAGAGGGATTAGTTTAACTAATATAATATCTAAAATACTAGCCTCGATAATTATCAGACGCCTAACTAAGACTCGTGAACTGCAAACACGAGAGAATCAAGCTGGCTTTAGACCTGGTCGTGGCTGCATCGACCACATATTCACCATTCGTCAGGTTCTAGAACACAGGCATACTTATCGGCGTCCGACGATGGTGGTCTTTCTTGACTTAAAAGCAGCATTTGACTCGGTAGACCGCGAGATTCTGTGGCAGTGTCTGTCATTGAAAGGCGTACCTCAGAAGTACATAAACCTTGTGAAGGCTCTTTACTCGAACACTACTAGTCGAGTCAGAGCTTATGGCGAACTGTCATCTACTTTTGCAACCTCAAGTGGTGTCCGTCAAGGCTGTCCACTTTCTCCATTTCTGTTTAACTTCATCATAGACCTACTGATGGAAATAACATTCTCGTCGACTGAATTCTCGGGTATTGATCTCCTACCAGGAGGTCCACTTATCGACTTAGAATACGCAGATGATATAGTCCTGTTTGGTGAAGACGCTGACAAAATGCAGAGTCTTTTGGTAGCACTAAGCAACAATGCCAGAATGTTTGGAATGCGCTTCTCTCCCTCTAAATGCAAGTTGTTGCTTCAGGACTGGTCTGCGTCAACACCTGAACTAAGGATAGGGAGTGAAGTAGTCGAACGCGTTGACAACTTCACTTATCTTGGAAGTCTGATCAGCCCTAATGGGTTGGTGTCTGACGAAATCTCAGCACGGATTCGTAAAGCTCGTTTGGCTTTTGCCAACTTACGTCACCTTTGGCGAAGGCGAGATATCCGTCTATCAATAAAAGGACGAGTATACTGCGCGGCAGTCCGTTCTGTCTTAATTTACGGCAGCGAAACATGGCCATTAAGAGTAGAAGACACTCGTAAGCTACTAGTATTTGACCACAGATGCCTTAGAAATATTGCTGGCGTCTGCTGGGATCACCGGGTAAGTAATAGTGAGGTTAGACGCAGGGTATTAGGGAATGATGGTAAATCAGTTGATGAGGTTGTGAATCTTCATCGACTGAGATGGTTGGGCCACGTGTTACGTATGCCTGAACACCGATTACCACGACGTGCAATGCTAACGGGTGTAGGGGATGGTTGGAAGAGAATTAGGGGCGGCCAAACCAAAACGTGGCATCAGTGCTTGAAGTCACTAACCTCTAGTCTGAGCCATGTTGGTAGATGCAGACTACTTGGTTGGGGTCCGCGTGACCTTCGTAACCAATGGTTGGAGACTCTTGGTGACATGGCTCAGAATCGATCACAATGGCGTCGGTGTATACACTCCCTGTCTTCCCTTAAACTAAGAGATTAAAATCACTTCATATCTTTCTTTCTAATAACTAATTCTTTCTTCCTGTACTGTATCCTTATATGCAATCTTTCTCCTATATGTTACCACCTTTGACCTAACCACTGCTATGAATCCGGTGTTCATCTTGTTGTGCTAATGAGGTATGGCAACCTGGACCGATGAATATATGTGCCTGGTCCTACGTTGTAGCTGAGCTGACTGACTGACTGTTTCTTTGTTTTGTTTTTTATTTCGTTCAATCTAATCATTGGTGTTGCTTTGTCGTTTTTGGTATTTACTGTAAATTTATTTTATTAGAGCATAAATTTTTATTATGAAACCAAGTATGTCTTTTATCCTTCATTTTAATTAAATGTGTTCCTTGTATTAGGAATTCGTTCATGTGATTTTCATGAATGGATCTCGCAACTGTAATTTTACTTAGTGGTAAACACTGCATGAATGATATTATTTTTATTGTTGAATACTCTGATAAAATTCAGTTTCCTCTAATTGCCTTAAATAACAATGCTAGAATCTTTGAAATCGATTTGTTTTTATCTAATTATAAAATATTGCTTTAGAGTAACGTCAATATCTGGTTAGATCATAGGAAGTGAACTAGTCGAGCTGGCCGGTATATTAACCTATAACTGCTACCAATGCTAGAAGGTCGATGATTGGCGAAATTCCAGCACATGTTTGGTTTTTGTTAACTTGTGGCTTAGATATTATGTCCATCTGTCAACTAAACGATGTGCCGTAGTATATTTTGTATTAATTTTTCGATATGACATAACGTTTGAAAGTAAGAGATATGTATAGGTTACCAGTTCTTGATCATGAATGTATTGGATACAAAAAAATTATTGTACATAAATTTGGTATTACCCAGTTTATTAAGTTGATGCTGTATTAACTTAACTGGATATGATCTAACTGATAATTAGATCATAATTTTATTCCTTTGCATTAAATTCCTTCAGATATTCTGTATCACTGAGTCATACTAATATTTAACTGTACAACATAACTAAAACATCTTAATCCAGTGATTTAACATGTTCTAAATTTTATCGTCTCGGTTTAGGGCTACAGGTACTAATTGATTTACTAATCAATGCTCTTCAAATAAGATAGTGTTTTAACCTGTAACTAAGTCTTTGGATGTTTTTTCTAATTAATCAGATGTTTGGTGTGAAGATCTATTATATTTTTTGTCTAGGTAATCTTATTTATAGAAATTACAGATGGAACTGTTTGATAATAGGTTTGTCTCTATCTGAAAATATTATTTAGAGCATATTTTATACTGATAATATACAACAATTAAAAATAAAGGATCTATCAATATGTGTTGTTTTAGTAGTAAACCTTTGAACCAAGTAGAAGTCCAGCATGAAATTCAAACTGTTGATTTGTACAATGTTAATTGATTCACAATGATAGGTCAAGATATGTATGATCAAGTGTTGAAAACATTTAGTGGCATAGCCCAGATACATTCACTTCTTATTTTACTGTAAATCTTGGTTTCTAGTGTTTCTTCATACCCCATACCTTTTGATTCTATCTTTCGGTACCATATTCTCAATGTTGCCTTGTCATTGCTATTGTTGTGAAATCTATTCGATTTCGTTAGCTGTTCATCTTGTTAGTTTCATCTTAACGTGTTAATATGATATGGTAACTTGAACCAGCGCACATTTGTACCAGGTTCTACATTGATTATGACTGATTGATTGAATGCGAGAACCACTGCAATAATGTGTTATTGTATAAAAGAAAATTGGGAATAGATATCCAAGTTTTGTTTGTTTAACTTTATTAATCTTATTGTATATTCCAATATTTTAAACTATATTTTAGTTATTTCTACACTAAAAACATGATAATTAAATAATAATAATAATAATAATAATTAAAAGTTCTATTTATCTGTTATAGTCTGTTCAACCGTGTAATATTTTTCTCTGGGGTAAGGAACTGTTTAAAACACAAGTCTAAGCATAGTTACCAAGTTTAGTATATAATGCGTGATGACAGGGAAATTATCAATCATTCATTTCCTGGGTACTTGTAAATTTGATAATCAAAATAGCGAAACAATATTTGTATAAATATACCAATTAATTATATAGTCAAAATTAATAATTTGCTATCTAATTTACTTCCATACCTTTTTAAGAGTACAATTAATTAAGGAAAAGGATCAGTAATAATCTGCATGTTTTCATTTGTTTCGTATCAATCTATATTTCCATGTATATATTTTGCAAGTGGCTGTTAATTAGTATTCTTTGATTCTTTTTTGAGACAACTGTATATTTCCAACATATTACAGAATTAAGACACGACTTATTAATAATTTTCTCATATGTTAACTAGCTTCGTTGGTCACTTTTCTATTTCTTAACCAATTGTACATTCGTGATCAACAAATAATTGTTGATAATTTTTTCTTGAAAGTTTCGTTATTTCCAATGTGTAATTACATTAAACGTCCTATCGTGTTGTCAATTTTTATTTACTCGATTGTTATAAGAGATTTGATTGTATACAATATTAATGTAGATTGATTAATACTTTAAAGATCATTTTATCCTGTTGACGTGGTTGGAGTTACAATATAGTACTCAGTTGATGCAGCTTATTTGTTGATAAAAACCAAAATCACAATCAATACGGGTACTATAAATCGCTTTATTCGACAGATTATATGTTGTACTGAATATATCGTGATTGTTTACGATAAATTATTTTTGTTAAACACTTCTACCGTTTTACGTGTATCTCACATTCCTATTTCGTGTTGGACTGACTTATATTTTGACATGAATTTTGTATTGCAAGATTCTAAATATCTCCTGGATGATTCGAATTTTCCTCACCCTATTTTCCTCTATATTTAGATTCATCTGAACGAACTTTTATTCTATCATAAAGCAGTTGGTGATTTATATAAACATGACGGTAAATAAAACTGCAAAACACTGAGATTGCTATCGTTAATCGTTAAGTCTTTAAGTTTGTACAGAATTGAATTATTCAGAAAACTGAGTTTCTTTGTTATATATCTCCCTTATCCATCATTTCATATATCCTCTTTTTTGTTTATGTATAGCAAGACAGTTTCACTGTTTATCTTACTTATTAGCTTACAATGCATCATGTTCTGATAATATATACAGTTGTTGATCACATTTTAGATTTTCTATAAGTGTATTTTGATTGTTAAAATAACGTATGGAGCGGTGACTGACTGATTATCCAATGTAATACAATATATTCTGATGCTAACTCCTCACACCCTCTGGATCCACTGACTTCATTCATTAATTGATAACACACAAATCAACAACAAACGTGATCACTTTCCTCTATTCTTTACTTCTCAAATCATGAAAATATCAAAAATACGACATTTATTCTGTCATTGAGAGTGTTATCTAGCAAAAATATGAGCCAATGTGCATTTTCAAGTAGCGTTAAATTGTAGCGGAAAGTGATTGCATGGTTTATACTGATTAGTTCAACAGCAGAATAAACTGTACGCTAAGATTATTCTTATCACTTTTTAAGATCAGTCGAAATCTGGAGTAAAAAACACTTACCTTTATTCAACTAACAACCTAAAAAGTCGGTTTCCAATTCAGCTACTTATCACTTATACCTCTAAATTGAATTACAAGACGACTGAGCAAATATTTATTCGACCCCAATCTTAACATTTTTGTTGGCAAATTAAACAAAATATATTGATTAGTGTCAAACAATATAGACTTGTTTACGTATTTTATGTCCGATGAGCACTTAAATATTCCTCAGATTTAAGACTTCATATGTCCACTAGATCCATAGCCTTTATCACATTTAAGGGAATATATTATTCTACTATTTTAATAAGGTTTTCTGTATTAGATTTTCACCTTCTTTATAAATGTAGGTCCCTTAATAAATACTTATTGATCTAAATGTATGTTTATTTATATCATTTCTTTCATTGATTTAATTAGGTTATGGGAACTATTAACACCAAAGAAATACCTGAAGTAAGTGGTTTTTCCCTTTCTTATTACAGTTTTAATTGTCATACTGTCACCTCACACTAATAACCTTTTTATGAAATAAAATAATGGTATAACTTTAAATCTAAAACCAAACATAATTTTAAGTTAACGTTCACAAAAGAAATGGATAGATAGATAGTTTGATCAATTTTTAATACACAACTATCAAGTGGATTGTCGTACCTTAACATTGTGTATTCTAAGTTTCTTTTCAAATATATAAATCTGGGAAAACTTTGTTACATGTAACAATTGGTTAACTATAAACTTTTTCTTAACAAACCCAAAGTACAGTACCAATTATTGACTAATCTAATAACTGTTATCAGTCTCATATTACAGATTGTACGTCCTGTATTGAAAATTTAACCTTCATCAATTACATCAACTGTTAATTGTATATTACGTAATCGTAAATAATGCAGTTATGAAAATCTATAGAGAATATGCTACATTACATCAACTTATTTTGTGTTTTAATTTTTTTTATGGTACAGTTTATTCACTGTACATTACACCGAGATTTAAATGGTCTAGGATTTAGTATTGCCGGTGGTCAAGGCTCACTTCCTCCACCATTAGATAATGAAGTGAGTTTTGCTAATAAGTATTTTAAATTTTGATATTCATTAAATTGTTAATGTATTATTGGTTGTTTTTTTTAATATAATATTTCAAACATTATGAACAATAAAGAAAAATTTTATTTACTCTGGGCTTCCGTTTTCATTTACAATTTATATTGTTTCTAATATTGAATGGTGTATTGTCCTGTGATATATATATATATATATATATATATTCATTCATTCCATCCTCTTTTAAGTGACTTAGTCAATCAACGATTCACATTGTTTTATTTTTATTCTGTGTTTTGATATTTGACTTTTTAAAAATAATGAATAAACTAACAATTTTAATACACTTCAATAAAATTGTCTATGTAAAACCAACAGATAATAATTCATGCTTGTGATTACAAGGATTTTAAAATATTAGAAAAAATTTCATTGTGATCATTATAACAACATAACACATATTTTCAACGAAATTATTACCAAGCTGTACAATCGTATATATCTATATCAAAAAAACATGATGATGCAATCGTAAGAATATTATTATACTCCATTAAATAATATGAGTAGTAACAATACTATATATATATACACGACTATACAGCTTGATAATAAATTCGTTGAAAGGAGATCCCTCGCTCAACTTCGTCTTTTTAATGTTTGAATAGGAGTTATATATCAGCATCACACATAAACAAATGATACTATATCAGGTTTTACTGTAAGTTAGTAATGTATATATTCAGACATTCTATGAGTCAATGTTAATAATCATGAAAAAAAATACATGAGTAATCCTAATAAATATAAACTAACATATAAGGCAATTAATCCTTTTTATAAATTTCGATAAAACAATGAGAAGACGGAGCTGATCTGAAAAATGTGATGTATTTGTGCTATACAGATAGTTCGAAATGTATAGCGCAAATACATAAACTACATACTGGATATTAGGTTGGCATGTTTGCATCAAACTTTAAGAATATAAATCTATGGAATTCAGTAGTGTATAAAAATTATCCAACAAGAATTGTACAAATAATCCGTCTAATCAATTGGAAATCGTAATATATATGCTTTAATAAATTAGAGTATAAAGCTTGATGAAGGTCTAATTAACAACAGTATTGTTCACATTTACGTGTTTTTGTTTGAATACCAAGGATAATCAATAATTCATGCATTTAACTTCATTGTGTATTAGGCATAGTTATTCTTAAAATAAATATAAATATTTCATCAGTAGTAGTTCTGCATATTCTAAATGTAAATTTAAATACTACTACTTCGACCATTATTGTTTCAAATTTAAAACAATTAGTCCCTTTGATAAATTTCGATAATGATATTAGAAGACGAAGATTATCAGAACTATGTGATATATATATATATCACATAGTTCTGATAATCTTCGTCTTCTAATATCATTGTTGTTTCTCCTATTATTATATTCAATTATTAAGTCTACATGAATTCAGAATATGATTTCTATTTCACTTTGGCTCAACTTCTACTACTGCCTTTATTATTATTAATAATAATTGATCGTCCATTTGTTAAAGGGTACTTAATCATTTTACGAAATTGTCTTCTTTTTCTTTGACATGAAACTACATTATTTTTCTCATAGAATTGCAAATATCTTGAGGTAGGTTTATAGTTTATATCATTGACATCAATCATACTGCCTTGTGGGCTTTATTCCCCTCTCGTCTCAATTTTTTTCAATGTTAACTTTATTTAATCTTTAATTTCGATTTTTTCTCAAATAGTCGTATATTAATTATGATTATGATTATACTATAAATATTAATGAGTCGGATAAAGTCCATTTTTATCATTGTTGTGATTGTAATTTGTTCGAAACATTTGATACAAACTTTATGTATTCGCTCTCACGCTTGTTTAATCTTAACTTTTGTTCTTTGTAAATGTAAAATAGTCTTGTTTGTTTGCAGGAAATTATATCATTTTATGTTTGTTCTCGTCGAATCTTGTTATGTATTGAATATTTCTGCAAAATGTTTAACTTCTTAAACAGAATGATAAAAAAGGGGTTAGAAAAGAGTATAATTCATACTTTCTCTCATGTACTCGTCTCTCTTAATTGTTGTATATAACAGTTATTCAGGTATCAATTATTTCTTATCACTTGAAGAAACGCTGAAATTTTATTTCAGCTAAATTTATTTTTAGAGAAATTTGAGTTTACTACTATTCCCCTTTTGAAGTTATAATCCATTTATTCTTAGTCTAAATAGTGAGACGAGCATCTTTTCTTATTTTATATTACATCATATAACCAGTTAGGGAAAAGAGAACTTTCTCCACTGAATTATCTTTATTTCTTCTTCAATCAGGAATTATTGTCTCAATTCAAATAAATCAGAATAGAATACAAACTAAACATTTTTGAATAATCTATGTGTGTTCTATAATTCAATAAATATATGACTCGATTATGTTCACTTAGCGATTTTACTGATATTCTTGTCTTATCTGATAAACCTGTCGACCAGTTATACAAAACTATTTCATACTGAAGTATTTTTATTTAAAACAAATCCCTCCATTTGTACTGCTTTGCATTGTAAAGGCTGGTACTATGTCAAGCCCACATAGGTTATTTTAGCCTCTGGAACTGGCCAATTTATTAATGTTTCTCGAGTCATATTTTGACCTTGTTAATCATTCGCTTATCAACCTCAATTGTATTTGCGTAAGCGTGTGTGTGTTCATCTCTTACCCTGCTCATCACCTGTCTAACTTACTTTTGTCTGACTATAAATATTGAGTAACGCTTGGTTAGAGTTGGCTCACGTGCCCTCTCCGATCGTCCACCTAGATCAACAACTGTAGGGAGTGTATGTATTTGACTTATTTAATCCCGTTATTTACTAATGTGGTTTAGATCGATAGTTTTATACGAGGATTGGTGATCAAATTGGAGTCAGATATTCTAGGGTCCCTAAAATACCATATATTGTCCATTGATTACTTTCAAATGAAATTCTTGTTTGATACCTTACTTTAACTATTCTATGTTGTAATCGGTTTTTTTTCGTGTCATTTTTATTCTCTAAGTGTTTGTTATGTATTATGTGTTCATGTTATTGATGAAGTGTTATACTTATTGCTTGTAATTATTTAATTACGATGAATTATATATGTATTTCTCTGTTGCAAAGAATGAAATTGAAATGACCCTTCTGTCGTAAAAATGTCTTTTTCCTCTTTTTTTAAATTTAATTTCATCAAAAATATGTTTAATTGTCGATATAATTTCATTCTTTGTTTTATTTCAATTTAATTATAGTTGATCCTTCATTAAAATTGAATGTAATTATGCTGTCTTTTATTTGATCTAATTTCAATTTTAAGTAAATTAACTAGTTATTAAACGATATATAACAAGATTCTTTTTTTCAATCTTTGAAATGTTATGGTAGTAGTCGATTGAGAACCTAAATGTTTGTCTTATTCATATTGAAGTTTCGTTTATTTGACACCATTCTATCAAAACTTGAACTATTGAAGTCAACTACTAACTGAACCTTGATACTAAACGTTCAGCTAATAATTAGTCCCTTTGATAAATTTCGATAATGCAATGAGAAGACGAAGTTTATCAGAATTATGTGATATATTTGCGCAATACATTTGACCAAATAAGATCATGGGATAGACAGACATCATCCTCTATTGCGAAACATTTGATTGAGACTGGTCATAAGGTTGATATCAAGCCAGCATTTGTAGTGTTGTACAAAAGCTTTCAAGGACGTATACTAAGGTTTATTGAAGCCTTGGCTATACGGAAATTGAAACCCTATTTATGTGTTTAGAAACAATTTATCCTACCCTGGTAGTACTGATTTATTATCTAGAGTGATTATCACTTTTTTTCTTCGTTACGGCTTACCTTTAACCTGTCTAGTTGACCTTTTAATTTTCATATAGAAATGTCTTAACAAGTATATATATGTGATCAGATTGTTCGAAATGTGTTACTCATATATTACATAATTCTGATAAACTTCGTCTTTTCATTGCATTATCGAAAGTTTAACTAATAATCAAACATTTATTTATTCTAGTTTTTCTCTAAAAATGGATTAGTTTTTATACAAAAGAGATATAATTAAGTAACTAATTGATTGAGTCCGGGGGGGGACATTTCTTCTATCAATATACAATCAAGACACAAAAATGTAATACAATAGTGAAACATAAAAAATAATTGACAATGCCTTGTCATATCTACTATTGACTAAGTTTTATTTCCCATTGAATCAAGGTTAATAATTGTATTGTTATTATGATCATAGTTTCTTTTCATTATCAAATTTATTATAACAGTAATACTAAATTGTTAATATTTCTGGCGAATCGATTAGACATAAGTAAATATAATTTCAAAATTTTATGTCCAGTGTTTATTTGAATACTGAACCTAGTTATTGTACATAACGCCATTATAATCTTTGATCAAGTGATGAAATGAAGTTTATCCAACTTTTTTTTTAATAAAGAAGTCTATTCATGGAAGTTGTTCCCAGTCGCTAAGGTATCTTTTATTAAATTTTAATTCTATCACTTATTAAGTCTATCCTTAGTGCAGTCTATTTGATCTATTGTTGTCTTGGTGTTAAATTTGTAGAAATTGATCACTATCTCACTAAAATTACAACATAAAATTTATATAGCTCAAGAGACTACGTGCATGATACTGTATTAAGCCTTAATCTGTATCGATTGTTTGAATATAAGTATCACTGAAACGTTTCTATAGATAGAGTGTGTACTCATTCATATTTTAAAAAATGGTAATTAGTTGAATGAATGACTTTAACTGTTACACGATTTGCTATGTTTGATATTTGTGCTTATTAGTATTTAATAAACCTATGTAGGTTTAAATCTTCTGTTGACAATATATATTACTTAAATCATTACTGCTTATTATAATTACTACACTTTGACATACGATCAGTGAAATCGACTGAGTAAATGAGATTTTGTAGATGAGAATTTTATAAAATCAATTCATAAATGGAGTAAGTAAATTTACAAGCTAATTGTATTTGGTAATAACTTTCGAATATGCATTACATTCATTGAATATTTCCTTTACTAGATTTATTTAAATGCGAGAAAGTGTTTTTTCTTCAGTCGACTCCTTAACATATCATAATTATAAAGGAACTAGTTGAGATCCTTGTTATCACTTTGAGTATGCACACTAATAAAAAACCAATTACATCCTGTTAGTGGATTTCAAATAAAATTAAATGATCGCTGCTAACTTATCAGTTAATACAGTAAAATAATCAGGGAAATTACCATATAATTTACATAATAGCACCTCTATAAGCAATATACACAAATTATCAATTACTGTTAAAATGGGACAGTAGACTGGTTTATGATTTTTCACGAGCATGTATATTCGCATCAATTACTGAAAGTAAATACATAAATAAAACGCTATTTCAAACTTAGTAAAAGTTGGAAATGTTATTGGTGTATTAACGGAAGCAGTGTGGATGTAGTTGGATATGTAGACTACACATCGTGTATTAGTTGAGTGTAATTCTATTGGATTGTTAAAACAACAGTAAAGGTTGTTAGTATACATAAATAAGCAGTTTAAAGTAGTCTATAATCATGGACAGCTTTTTCGATGAAAATGAGTATTCTACAGCTCATCCTTTCAGATATTAAATTCAATGACAGACTGAATAATCTTGAATGTAATAAGATAGTTCCATTGGTATTCAACTAGCTTTCTGTTTTAAATATATTATTATCTGTAACAATTTACTCAATGCTATGATAAAAATCAGTCAGCTCTCATAAGATAGTCTCAGAATTATAACTCTTTGTTTAATAATTGAAGTTTTGACTTTTTACTTGCATTAAATTCTTTCATTTTTTAATAGTAAAATGTTCAAACTTTTATCAGATTTGCCATAATTCACTGTCTAAACTTCCACAGTAATTCGACACGTAGGTACCTTCCTAGCTCCATCACTTTTCGAATTGATGAAGGTATATACTATTTCAATGGCAAAAGATTATTCATGTGTCTTGATGTTAAATTGTTTGAATCCGATTGAGAAAATTGTACTTGTATATCCCTTTTCATTTTAGGCTATATATGTTAGTAAAATAACAGAAGGTGGAGCCGCTCATAAACAAGGCCAACTTCGAATTGGTGATCAAATTATTAGCGTAAGTTTTATATTCCCGCTCTAAATCTGTTGTAGATTTCTCTACTTAATATACCTCAATTTTTTTAACGATTTCCTTTGTGGTGTTTATCAATCTTTTCTGATAAACACGATATTTAGGTTCGGGCAGAACTTTCGCTTTTGTGGTTATACTACTTACTATTTCTAAGTATTTAGATGTATCTTCATACTGACTACATCTTGTTTCAATACGATACAACGAAGAAACAAGTAGGGAAATATAGTAAACCAGAGAGGCCGGTCAAAGACAAAGAAGGCAAGCCAATCACTGAAATTCAACAACAGAAGAACAGATGGGTAAAATACTTCGAGGAACTCCTGAATAGGCCGGCTCCAAAGAGTCCACCAGACATCGAAGCAGCACACAGAGATCTCCCTATAGGTGTCAATCCACCAACGACGGAAGAAATCAGAATGGCCATCAGACAAATCAAGAACGGGAAAGCAGCAGGACCCGACAACATATCAGCTGAAGCACTGAATCAGACATCGAAGCAACCACAAGCATGCTATACCTTCTATTCAAAAAGATTTGGGAGGAGGAACAAGTGCCGATGGACTGGAAAGAAGGACACCTCGTCAAGATTCCAAAGAAAGGAGATCTAAGCAAATGTGAAGACTACAGAGGCATTACACTACTGTCAGTACCAGGGAAAGTCTTCAACAGAGTGTTGCTGAACCGGATGAGACGCAGTAGACGCCCAACTTTCAGATCAACAAGCTGGATTCCGTAAGGATCGGTTGTGCACAGACCAAATGGCGACACTACGGATCGTCGTCGAACAATCAGTTGAGTGGAACTCGTCACTGTACATCAACTTCATTGATTATGGAAAGGCATTTGACAGTGTAGATAGGGGAACCTTATGGAAACTTCTTCGACACTACGGAGTTCCTGAGAAGATTGTCAACGACGGACTACAGTGCAAAGTAGTGCATGGAGGACAGCTGACAGACGCATTCCAAGTAAGGACTGGAGTCAGACAAGGCTGTCTACTCTCTCCCTTCCTCTTTCTTCTGGTGATCGACTGGATTATGAAGACCTCAACATGTGAGGGAAAACACGGCATACAATGGACAGCTCAGAACCAATTAGACGGTTTGAACTTCGCAGATGACCTAGCACTCCTGGGAAGCATTATCGATGAACAAGGAGGTTCAGATGCAGACGTAAAGGCGAGGATTGGCAAAGCAAGGGCCGCATTCCTACAATTGAAAAACATATGGAACTCAAAACAACTTTCAACCAATATCAAAGTGAGGATCTTCAATATCAACGTCAAGGCAGTTCTACTGTACGGAGCTGAAACTTGGAGAAATACAATAACCACCATCAAGAAGGTACAAGTATTTATAAATAGCTGTCTACGTAGGATACTCAACATCCATTGGCCGGATACCATCAACAACAGCCTTCTGTGGAAGAGAACACACCAGCTTCCAGCTGAAAAGGAAATTAGGAAAAGACGATAGAAATGGATGGGACATACATTACGCAAATCATCGAACTGCATCACGAGGCAAGCCCCAACTTGTAATCCTGAAGGGAAGCGTAAAAGAGGAAGGCCAAAGAACACATTACGTCGGGAAATCGAGGCAGGTATGGAAAGGATGAATAACGACTGGGAAGAGCTGGAAAGGATTGTCCAGGACAGGGTTGGATGGAGAGTGCTGGTGAGCGGCCTATGCTACTTCATGAGTAAAAGGCGTAAATAAGTAAGTGTTTCAATATGTTTGATCGTGGGTTTACACCATCGTACAGTGAGTTTTCAGCTTTAATTTTTTGTTGTGGTTGCTGATTTTATCTTTTCGTACTTTATGAGGCGAAATTTCTGGAAATAATTTCTGCTAGTTGTTTTACTTTGTAAAGATGGAATGATGAATCACTTTTTCCCCTTAGCTAACCTTCTATCAATCAAGCCGAAAATATATTTGAATAGTTCTTGATTATGGAGTCTTTCAAACTGCAGCACTGTACTGCAGGTTCGATCGTGTTATAGATTAACAAAGTTCTTTTTAATTAAGCAAAAAACTTATTTCCATAACATTCATTTGGACCACCTGTTACAGGTTATTTATTACATCAAAAAGAAACTTAGTTCGCTCTCCTAGATTTACCTCAGCAGAAAAGTGTTGCGAAAAATCTTTCGAGTGCAAATTATCGGAATAGCGTTTCTTTCTTTTTCTATTTTTTAGATAAACGGTGTCGATATTAGAAACGCTCGTCACGATGAAGCTATTTCGTTGTTAACAAGTTCTAACGATTCGGTAGACTTGGAATTACTTCGTTATAATCCTGACATGACCGATAATATCGATAGTCTTCCGAAAACGTGTAAGCATATTTTGAATATTCCTACATTTTTGATCTTTAAAATATCTAGACATCATCATACTGGGAGACTGCATCAAAGTCATAGACAGTGATGTATTTGATGGATTGTTGTTGGGGTAGCTTTGGTATTTCAGAGTCTTGTGATGAGTAATGTTCAGTGTTTCAAATCTCTAAAGTTTTCCACTACGTTTCCAGTCAAAAAGTAAGATAAATAACGGTCAGAGCCAGTTTGTTTCTTACTTTTATCCTCCCAGACCAGCAAGACTGACCGAAAACATTTGTTGTTAAAATACGTGCCATTATTTTAAAGAAGATTCAATCAAACTTTTTTCTAATACCCAGAAATGGACCTAATATCGTAAACTTGTAATATTATACATTTGCACTGATAACCCTGAATTCCAACATCAAATTAGATGTCGTATTTATTATTATTACTCTAGATAAACATCGCTTGCCATATTGGCACAAGCCTTACAGGTATTTGAGTGAAGATGTAAATGTATGTCTTATGCATATTGAAATGTGGTAGATTTTGATTCTTGTGCATAAATTTATCTCCAGTTAGTTATTATGACTTAAAATTTCCCGCAAAAATATTTGTTATTAAAATGTATTCGTTAAATCTATCCTTTAGTGATGGTTTCGAGATCAAATAAATTCGTTATTTTTTTAAATAAGGGATAGGTAGGGTTCCGAGTTTATCATCTTTTTCGTTTTCGATATTCTACATTTCTGATGATTTATGAAAGTTCCTAGGTTTGGGTTTTGTTTCTTTTTTTCTTTTTAACAGCAGCTAACGGTTTTATAACGTCATCAATTCTGGCAGTTAAAAGATCGAATAATCAACAAAATACTACGAAGACTACAGATTTGACGAATACAGACAGTCATATTTCTGAGAAATGTGATTCTCGGGTTTACTTATATAGTGAAAAGGGTATTCCTGTGGAAAGAATTACGGTTCGAAATGATGGTGGACCTTTGGGTTTAGCTATCTGCGGAGGATCCGATATTAGTTGCCTTCCGTTTGGTAACAAAGAACCAGGTATTTTTATATCCAAGGTAATAGTCGATTGTTCGCAGATGAATCTCATTTCACTATGTTCCATGTTATACGCAGATTTATTTCTGTAAAGAAATCGTGTAATACAAAAAAGAACGCTTCCTAAGGGACTCATTCTGTTATACTGAGAAAACTGAATGCAGCTATGGAGATATTGTGCTTAGTCTGATAAACTGGACGATGATAACTACTTTTTGCAAATATTTACTAAATGTCATATGCTTTTGATCTCTGACCAAGTTCAGAAAAGGCAAACTGATTAGGCGTTTTTATTGTTCAGAATCGTAATAGTACTCACAATTTTTTTTGAGGTGGCTAAACTGACCTCGGGTAGCTGATAAACTTCGTTAACAAAAAAACCCATTTACAATAGCTCGTCCATATTTACATCTAAATTATCATGCAACCCCATATAATCTGGCTTCTTTTACTCAAAATGTATGTAGAGAAATAAACTTTATGAAATGGAATGACAGTTTTTCTTCGTTTTCACCAATCATTGCGTCAGACCAATATCGTGCAGTACATCTGTACAGGTAACATACTCCCTTCTTCATTAGACGTATACGATCTGCTTGGGCAGTTGTTACTTTTAATTTTATCCAAACTTCCGTAAACAATGAGATTTCGAGAAAATCATGGACGAACCATCAATCAGACACTATTTGTATTAATTCGAGCTTTGGTGGTTGTAGAATTAAAGGTTCTTTTGACTGCGAAAAACTGACTAGCCAGGAATGTTTGTGTATCGTATTTAAGGGATTCATTTACTTCTTAATTCCGTAATCTTTACTTTGATCATTATAGATCTCCCTAGATGGTGCAGCTCTTAATACTGGCTTACGTATCGGAGATAGAGTTCTTAAAGTTAATGGAGTCGACTTGAGGCACGCTACACATGATGAAGCAGTACAAGCTTTAATCCAGCCTGTTAAAGAACTGCAATTAGATGTACGGAGAGATCCTCCGCCGCCAGGGTTAAGGGTAAGTTAAACACCAATTCTTCATATATGAAATCTGCCTCCAAATATTACCTTATCATTATGATGCGATATTTCCTTATCAATTCAGCGTATCACTGTGACGAAACGACCTGGAGAACGATATGGACTACGTGTAACAGGTGGACTTAACACTCGTGATAGTAACGTGATAACTAATTTAACATCACATTACTCATCACTAGCCAATGATGACGGGATATTTGTTACATGGGTTTCACCAGATAGTGTCATTGCTCGAGACGGCAGATTGAAGCCAGGTGACAGATTATTGGAGGTCAACGGACATTGGTTGATGGGAGTTACTCTTGATGAAGTTTTGCACGTAAGAATTTTTCCAATTGAACTTTATATTAAATAAGTAGATTCATATAGATCAGCTCTCAAAATAATAATAGCCGTCTTAAAATCATTGGTGAGGACCATAATCTGAAGAACCGTCTGACCTGTTTGATCACATTAATTCATGACTTTGGATAATATCATGCGTATCTACTAAGATGAGACGCTGTGATCAATTACATTTTCAAGTTAGTATCTGGTAAAACTAACTTACCACATACGCACTACTGCATGAGTAATAATATTTTGGTTAAAGCAGATAAACTATCTATAGAATGATATGTCACTGCTTTCATCAATATAATTGCATAATGTTTACATTTTACGCAATAACCTGTTGGTTGGTGAAAACCTCAAACCAGTTAATCAAGCGACTAGAACTCCTATTTTATGATACAAAACTAGTTTTTGTCCTAAGTTAGTCAGAACCAGTTTATTTACATCTTGCCCGATTTGCAGATAAATTTCGTACTCACAGAAATTATATATGCTAAACATACTATTATTGTTATCTGTGACAACCCCTGTATGTCAAAGTCCATATGCTTAAATCCTGAAACCCCCGTAGTCTATGTGAAATATTATCGTCCTGAGACTCACCTGAATATCTAGTGATTAGCGGTCATATACTTAAAACAACAGCAACAAAGGAGGCAGTCCGAACAACGCAAAAAACAAATTATGCCGAATGAATCACCGATTTTTGTGGTAATTATCATTGCCCCGTTTCAGTAAGTCCGGAATTATCATCGTGTATATCTTTATAATGAATGTTAACCTGTGCTGTCTAAAATGGAAGTGCATATTATTCTTGACAGATATTTTGGGAATCCAAATCGACTCTGTCATGTGTGGTATGCGATGGTCCAGTCGAATTCGCTCTCCAGATTAATAAAACAAGCCATTCAACGAATACTGAACCGTCTACATATTCTCCTGCTATGCCATTTTCTATCATACGCTCCACAATGCCCGAAATCGCTGATGCATCTGTCGACGATAATCCTACCTCTAACTCACAATTAGAGAAAGCAAACTGCATCCACAGATTGAACTCAGTAAGCAAAATTTTCAGTATTTTGTTTGGAATCAGTTTCGAGTAGAGTTTAGAGGCTGCTCGATTTAAAGGTAGTTGTTGTCACAATCTGTTATGATGGGAAACCATTAAAAAAAAACAAAGTAGAACTGAGCAGCTATTCTATGATAGCTTAGAAATCCACCTAGGGATCCGTCTCAAGACCTGCTGTTTCTGCAGAATATATATATATATATATATATATATATATATATATATATATATATATATATATATATATATATATATATAAAGCTTGTCTCCGTAAATAACTTTTGTATTTAAAAACAATCTGATTAGTTAACCTGAACCCCTATTGAACGCATTAACTCAACAGAAGTTAGGATCGGTGGATATTTAATGAACTATGCTTATCAACGTTGTTTCAATTTGTTATGTGAATACAGTGACGTCTTTTTATACTTCAGGAGGCTGCTGTGCGTCACTAGTATCAACTAAACTGAATGGTGGTTGGCGCGAAAGCACTCGTGGTGATATTTAAATATACATTTTCTCTTCATTTCATTACCTTCAACTAGACTTTGAACCAATCTTTTAAATGACATAGTGATTTACTCACGCTTATTTTGTTCCCTGTAAAGAGTTGTACAGCGCCTTAATAATTTTTTTTTATTCCTTGCTCACAATTTTAGTGATGTAAGAACAATTGTGTATCTCCTTACAATCGATAGCACATACCCTCGTGCGCTTATGTACTTTTTTATGTTTAAATTTCAATAAAAATGTTCCGTTTGTTTAAATACTCTTGACTTCAGTGTTTTTTTTCATAATTTTATTGAATTAGGCAATTATCCAAAACAGAGCAGAAAACATCAGTTAAACTCTGATAAAGTTTAAGAAAGTGTACAACTGTACAATCACTTACAAAAAATGTTGATCATTAATACACAATGGATTGAAGAGAGCTATAAGAAAATAGAATAAGGATTGATAGCCGGTTTCAAGGAAATAAACAAGATCATGGTGTTCAGGTAGGATGCAAAATGAAGGTCCAGTTATCGAGATTTGGGAAATACTGTGATAGAACAGCCACCATGAAGTGGGACAAGTTGAACAGGGTCCGGAATAACCAACATTATCACACGAGGAAAGTATGTAACAGAAGTTCGAATTATCTACAATACATCATCTACGAAAGACAGATTAGGTAGATGTTTTCGCACTTCAATCGCGTCCATTAGCTCTTGCAATGATGTTTGTCTGAATAAGAGAAATAAAAAGTATATGTTGCATCTCGACTAACGAATTAGCACGCTTTTTGATTGAGATCATGAACCGAATGGTGTTAGACCACCATTGAAAACCTGGAAGATTAGACATTAACACCGTTGAATACCGGCTCAACGGGCTAGAGGTTAAGTGTTCGCGCGCGAAACTGAAGGCTCTGGGTACGAATCCTGCGAGCGAGATCGTGGGTGCGCATTGCTGAGGAGTCCCGTAATGTGACGAAATGGCCGTCCAGTGCTTCCACATCTTCAATAGTGGTCTTACATCAATTGTCTCATGATCTCCACAACCGTATACTGATAATTAACAAACTGTTTTATACCAGCAAGATGACAGGTAAATCTTTACTTATTTCCATATTTAGCAAAAATAAATTTAAAACTTTATTTTGAATGGTTACAGTAGTGTACGGAACGAAAGTGATTAATGTACTTGAGTATCTAAACGTTTTCTATTCCTCAATAACGAGTAGCTGCGTCTTCTCTTATATACTTGTAGATTACTCTGGTTGATCACAGAAGAGCCAATGAACACTGCCATAAGCAGTAGCTAATTCTCCACATTTTGCTACCTATTTATCTTATGACTGTCCTGAACTTTGAGACATTCGAAAAATTATTTATTTTATTACGAAAACCTATTTTTCTAAACGGTTAGCGTGAAATAGTCTTTTTAGGTTGTCCAGATAATCACAGCAGATGGGAGTTCAAGAAAACTAGTGGTTACCCCTTTTGTGTAACTCTTTGATCGTTAGTATGGAAACATAAGGTTATAGTCCATGATGATTGATGTCTACACTAATAATAGTTTATAATTTTGACCTTTTTCCAAACAAACTTTTTTCTTTGAGCGTAGTCTTAAAGATTCGGATGGCTTGTGAACCCCTGGGTCGAAAATATCTAGGTAAAACGGTCGGTTGCTTTTTGCTCTAACAAGCAACACGACGTACATAAAAGCATGTCATATACCGACTAGTTAATACCAATCGCTCAGTTTACTAGGTGCAGTTGAATCCTAATTGGTAGTACAGTGAAAATCACGTTCATATACTAGGAACAAATAAATTTATCACCATAATAAATAAGGTTTTCAACTTGTTGCTAACATAAAAGTAAAACTGAAGAATACTAACCACAGAACTAAATACTTTTCTACACTCACTTCTCTTTATGAATTGCGAGTTTTGCTTCACTTATTCGAACTAACGCGCGCAACTTTTTGGATTCAGCTGATAGCTCCCATAAAGAACGCTCTGTAGTCGATCGAAATTTTTCGATTCAATTTGAGCCTGAAACAAGAAAATATTAATTTGAATAAAGATTATGACAAAAATGGAGGTTTCGATTATCATTTCATAGGGGTTATACTTACTTCTTGTTCAAGACGTTGTAAAGTATCATCTTGATATTTAGAAATAAATATGGGATCAAAAAAAGACTTCATCTCGAAGCTGTTTAGGGTATCCGTAAACTTTTCTAATCTAGACCCACTTTCCGACAGTGCAACAGGTGAGAAACCTCTTTTAGTTGTGACGTCAACTGCCATAGCGGTAGAATGACTTGAACGAACTGATGGGGAAACAGAAGTAGGACTCGGTAAATTTGCAATCTCCTTTTTGACTACGACGTCTGGTGTATGTTCAGTTGTATTAGCGGATTTGCTAACATTTGAAACATTACAAGCAGGTACAGGGGATGCCGATGTGTCTAGTCCGGGATTGCCTTTATTGGACAGAAATGAATCGGTATTCAATCGACTGGAAGCGCTAGTTCGTAACACCCTTAATGAAATTTAAGAAAATAACCGCATAATTACAAAAAAGCAATGTACAACATTTACACTTAGATAAATAATAATCTCAACTAAGAATATCTGTGTACAAAGTGATTACTTTTAGAGCTTGAGAAATATTTGAGTAATAGTTCATAGCGGTCACGTTTGACCATTTCAAAGATAAAAAACAAGTTCACTAATCCCCTTATTCAAAACCACATTTTAGTATACAGGTGAAATGGCTGCCACAGAAAAGCGCTTTGCGGACAAGCAACTGACTAATTAGAAATGGTAATTTGATTTCGAAAGATAATGACACAAAAAGTCAGTTGCCACGTCCAGATCGGTATATGTGCCTCTAAATGCAGCCGAATGTGTAGAGTCAGCTACCATCTCGAGATGCTCTCACATGGCCACGCGTATACAACCACTGACAAGGAAGTAAGGGTAATGTTCACGAAATTGAGAAAACAAAAGGCGAATGTCTGACGCTCTAACCGGGTTAGTGGATACGGAGGATCCACCTAGGGAAGTTGGAAAATCATGGTTCCAAGCCAATAGTGCACATGGGCTCTAGGATCCTGAGCGAACAAATGGCGTATGAACCTCTTGTTGGTCACCGGCTACCATGGAACTGCATCTCCCAACGTTGCTCCACTATCTTGTGCATTGGACCTGTAGGTCAAGGGCTCGGGGTGTGGCCCCTAAGGGAACCACTTGTTTCAGTTGGGTGTTCGGGCAGTATCCCAGTCTTCACACAAGTCGAGTGACTTGTGTGGCGCATATTTATTTGGTCCCTCTCTGTACCAATATTTATGTGTTCAAATGAATTAATAAATCACATAAGTACGTTTGTCCACCGGTTAGTGTTCCACTCATTGGTTTTGACAAACGGAAGATTTTGTCTCATATTAAAAGCCTTCATAACTTTATTATGCTGTAAATTCCCCAAATTAGTCTATTTCATTGTTTGTGTGGCGCATATTTATTTGGTCCCCCTCTGTACTAATGTTTATGTGTTTGAATAAATAGAAATAAACATGTGCACATCTTTTCATGTTGCCATACCCTATTAGCACACAGATGAAATTGTTAGACTAAACACTAGAATAGTAGATGCAGTACCAGTGGTTAGTAAAACGATTAGGCGTCGAAGATTCGATTCGAGAAAAAATAAATTATTGAAATAAAAACAAAAGTTACAAGGAATTTAGAATCACGGGGAGAAAAAGAAAGGATGCACCTGCGCCATTCTAAACAATTTCGGGCTGTTTCATTCATGATCTCTAGCCATGAGTTACAACAACCACGTGGACCCAAACCAGGTGGTCTACCGTTAACGTGATTCAGTTCAATTGTCATGGTCTTCACAAACTTGTACCATATTCTGGTTTGAGCGCCCCTAATTTCTTTCTTGACTACCCATCCATCAGACAACATTGGTGGTTGGGTTTATGCAATACATGTCCTAACCAGCTCAGTTGATGAAGGTTCACTACCTCATCAATCGACTTTCCATCTTTACCTCGTTCTCTGTTCCTGACCAAGGTATTGCTAAGTCGATAGTCTCAAAATACATCAGCAATGCTCCGAAGACACCTATGATCGAATTCCAGTAACCTACGAATATCCTCAACTCCTAATAACCATGTTTCACATCCACAAATTAGGACGGAACGAACTACCACTCAGTACACAGAAAGGTATAACAAAGTACCACCTTAGAAATTTCTCGACAGTTATCAAATACGAAAGGAGTCGTGGGTATTTGAATCATGTGTTGTCGATGCCACTCCACCGCCTATGCAATACTGGCTTACTACATAAAAGATTGGTAGCCAAACTAAAATATGACAATACTTTATAACAACACTAGTAATACGACCAGTGCATGGAAATCTAAGAGTCAAGTTACTTGTCCCACTGCTAATAAGATTAAGGCTTCTAACAACTTCTGGACGTATGATAGTCTATTTCGGTAAACCACAAGTTCAATGAAATGCACATGTCCGTAACTCTAAAACTTGCAAAGTCTGAATGAAACCCAAAAACCTGGTGACCAGAGTGCGATGCCGAGCTCAAAGCAGCAACAGCATCTGGTAACGACTGGAACCTGGTTAACCCATTTGAACCATTGGAAGCAAAAACCTGATCTCCGTGAAATGAATTGTGAAGTCGGTAGCACGCCAATTAATAACTTTTAAGTGTCTTAAATCCTGCACAGAACACTTTGAGGGACAGATCCACTGGTCTGTTGTTTCACCAAAGTCGATCAGACTGTTGTACGACTCTTGGCTAGTGACTACAAGTTCACTTAATGAAGTGGAAATCAGTAAGATATTACCAAGCGTGGAACAGATTAAAATTTAATGATCCTGCTGTAGTTTTTCATTTTCCTCTCCATAAAAGGAGGACCCTTTTGAGCGAAACAAAACCTAGCTTATTAGAATTCCTTGTTGAGCACAATTTTTCCTCAGTTATTCGGATTTAAAACCGATCCCTTATCTATATCTTCAAATATTAGCGGTTACGTGGCAAATTGTAGTGCCCTAGAATTTTTGTATGCTATAAATAAGAAATATCAATGCCCTAGAAGCATTTACAATACTCTTAATATTACCTACAGAAAAAATTTATTGTTAAACTTTGTCTAAGAAAGTCTAAGTAATAAATTCATAATGATAAGCTGATAACACTACGAAGAATAAGGAAATTGTATACTCCATATTTGGGAGAAGG